TCCAACACCTAATATATATATATATATATATATATAATGAACAAAATCAAAATATATAGACTCCTTTGGTTAGAAAAAATTAGGTATATATAATTTTATTATAGGTATTTATAATTTTGCGGTTAAATTCATTTAAAATCTATAATCTAGAATTCTTATTATGTAAAATAGTAGTTTATTTATTAATCTACAGCTGATGATGCTGGGTTTCAAATGCGATCATACCTGAATAAAATATGTCAGACTCCTAATTTGGATAAATTAGCAAAGGAAAGTCTACTATTCAATAATGCATATACATCAGTCAGTAGCTGTTCACCAAGGTATTATTGTTATATTCAAATTGGATTTAATTAATAAAGATATAAATCTTGAATTATGTATTTGTAGCCGCTCCGCAATATTAACTGGATTACCAAGTCACCAAAATGGAATGTATGGTCTTCATCATGGGATTCATCATTTTAATTCTTTTGATAATGTTCAAAGTTTGCCAAAAATATTGAAGAGAAACAATATACGGACAGGTAATGATTATTGGATTTATAATATCATATTATAAATTATGTTGTCATAATTTGAATATTTTCTTTGTGCAGGAATTATTGGCAAGAAACATGTAGGCCCGAATAATGTTTATCCATTTGATTTTGCGCATACAGAAGAAAATAATTCTATTCTTCAAGTAGGCCGCAATATTACTTATATAAAATTATTAGTCCGCGAATTTCTCTCACAAAATAAAACACAGTAAGTAATATTCTATATATCGTGCTTGTACATAATTTTATAAAGTAATATATTGATTTTTCGTATATTATGTGTAATAAAATTCATGCTAAATTATTTTGTACATTTAAAAAAATAATATTACTATTAAATTTTTATCATATTTATTATTCTGCACTTTCTTAGTTATTTAAACTTTCTTGGTTACTTTCTTAGTTATTTTATAAAAAATTTTGCAGACCCTTCTTTCTATATGTTGCCTTTCATGATCCACATCGCTGTGGGCACACTCATCCAGAGTATGGCAATTTTTGTGAAAAATTTGGTAATGGTGACGTTGGAATGGGTACAATTCCCGATTGGAATCCAATATATTATCAATGGGAGCAAGTTAAAGTGCCCTACTATGTTCAGAATACCGAAGCTGCTCGGAGAGATATTGCTGCTCAATATACAACTATATCTCGTTTAGATAAAGGTCTTTTTAGTTACTTGCGAAATGCTCAAATATATATTATAAGATTTCTAATATATTACAAGACAAGATGTTTTATTTTTATATATTTTATATATTATATAAAAGCAGTATTTAAAAGGAATAATTTTTTTAGGCGTTGGCCTTGTTCTTGAAGAATTGGAAAATGCAGGATTCAAAGACAACACATTGGTAATTTATACATCCGATAATGGCATACCTTTCCCGAATGGTCGTACAAATCTGTACGATCCAGGTTTGTATATTTAATTACATTTAAGGTATTGAAAAAACGAAAACTAGCAGACAGTTAGTATTTTAAAAAACACAATTAAATATTTCAAAAAAAAATTAAAGGTATGGCTGAACCCATGATGATGTCATCACCAATCCATGGCCATAGGAAAAACAGCGTTACTTACAGTATGACATCTTTACTAGATATAGTACCGACAATTTTAGATTGGTTCAATGTAACTTACTTGGATGAAGATTCCAATGAAGTATCTTTTCTGCAACTTACTGGAAAATCACTTTTGCCATTACTTCTCGAAGGTACATATAATATGTATGTTTATTATATGCAATACATATGCTGTCTTCTGTTAGAGAGATCACACTGTGAAATAATTGATATTTCATTTATAGAACCTGTAGAAAATAATACGGCAGTCTTTGCTAGCCAAACACATCATGAAGTTACCATGTATTATCCTATGCGTGCAATTAGAACTAAACGTCACAAACTTATACATAATATCAATTATAGAATGCCATTTCCTATTGATCAGGACTTTTATGTATCTCCGACGTTCCAAGTAATCTGAAAAAAAAAAAAAAAAATCAAAAGATGTTATCTTTTTTTAACTAAAATGAAATTGTTTTAGAACAAATTATTAATATTCATAAGTAATTTATTATTGTATTATAAAATGCAGGACATTCTAAATAAAACAAGGAATCATCAGTCTCTACCATGGTACAAAACATTAAAGAAATATTATCAGAGACCAGAGTGGGAATTATACGATTTAAAATATGATCCAGAAGAATTAAATAATATAGCTTCAAAAACATCTGCAAAGGTACTATATATATATATTTATATATTAAGTACATTTTTTAACTAAATATAATAAATACATTTCAATGTTTTATGTATATTCTGAATTTCAGGATATATTTGTTGAACTTCAAAAACGATTGTTCAATTGGTTAGAGACAACAAAGGATCCATGGTTGTGTGCACCAGATGGTGTTCTAGAGAATATTGGACAAAATAGTAATTCTCAATGTATGCCACTGAATAATTTAAACGATTGAAGCTTCCTGATATTTTCCTGATATTCATTGATAATCATTATATATATTATATACACATACAGCGTTTTCTTTTTTATAATTTTATATTCTAATATGCATTTTTGTAGTAATAAGTATTGAATATAAGTTATAATAGAGAATTTTTAACATTTATTATATCTGATGAATAGTAAGAATAAGTATTGTAATTTAATACTCAGTATAATATATATAAATAACAATGTGCAATACTCATTTATAAAGTATGAGAAAGAGAAAAATAAAACTTTAATGATACAATGTAAAACCAGGGGTTTTTACAATTCAATTATAATTTACCAACCTTCTGCATTTAGAAATTCCAATTCTTAAAGTGTTTAAGATGGTAAAGTTGCTCTTGACGTTGAGATATTCTTTGGTTCTCTTTCGCGATACTTGATAAGCATTTCATTTAGTTGATGAACGTAAGCCGATGATTTATTGATGGATTTTATTACTGTTCTCAGTTCTGTCGCTATTTCGTTCATCTAAAAATGTATAATTAAAATGTCTTATTTTCAAATTACAGAATAAATAAAAACATTAACTACGCATTGATTGTTAATATTTATATAAATACAAGGAAATCTCACATATTGTTTATAGTTCAGATATCTATTATATTTTTGATTGTTATTATAAATTTGTTTGATTTGAATCATAAATAAAAGACACAAAGCAAGGCCACCCAACACGACGAGGGAATTCGAATTCTGGAGTCCACGTAAAACGAGCATCACACTTGTTGAGGTTAGAAAATGAATCAATAACATACAAACAATCGTTATATAATATTAAATTAAGTATAAGACATTAATCGTTCAGGCAAAGCGTTTTCTTATAAAGTGACAACGTATCAATTATTCCGATTACTCGTATTTTTACGTTCATTTTCACAAGCAATGCCGAGTGGATCCATGACAATGCAAAACATATAATTACAGATTATTTCAACTCGTGATCACTCGTGATTTGACAGAGTAACCTCAAGTGAAAATTTTTCTTTTTTTCTTATTGTAATAAAAAAGATTTTATCTTTTTTGAAGAAAAACTGGTATTTAATAATAAATCAATTAAAAAGTCAATAATTGTATACTTAAAATTTATATTGCTTTTATTATTATATTACATATTTTAAATGTATAATTATAGGACAGAAAATACACACAGATATATTTTTCTAAAATTATATATTCTTTTTTAACACTTTGCCATATCATTTATATTTGGTTAACATGTAAATTTTCGCATATTATTACTTTATTTACAGGCGAGTTTTATTTACCTGATTTTGAAACAAATTTTATTTAAACAATTGAGACATTAAAGAAACAACATATACATTATGTAAAGTCATCAAAAATAATTAAATAATGAAACAAATAAAATATATCTATACTAAACTTATTAAATTCAATACCAAAATCAACTTGATAGTCAAAGTGATAGTTAAACTATAACTGACATTAGGCTTATTCATAAAGTTATGAATAATGCTGATATAAAAATTAATAACAGGAAAAGAAGCCTATGCTTAACTAATATCTATACATTTTTTTTTAATATCAGCAATATAAAACATTGAGAGAATTATATAATATTCTTATTCTAGCAAAAATCAAATAATCATTTAAAACTTTTAGTACACAAGTGATCCAACTATAATATAAGCATTCACAATTTTTTTTTATATGTTTTAACAATCGGTGAATATTTAATCGGTATCCTCATATTCTTCAGTTCCTTCAGTTCTTTGCGACGCAGTTTGGATTGAAGACTCTTAATTCGATATCGTAATTCTTTTTCTTTTTCAGTTGCTCTTGATGATGTTTGCGTACTTACGCTCTGATAATATGTAAAAAATACACAAATAAATAGATATCAAATGTAAAAAATTTCTTTTAGAATGAAAATTTACAAACCTGAGTTCGAGGAGTGACCTGTATTGCTTTGTCTGTTTCATTTAATACTGACGACACAAGAAATGTCTCTTGCATTTTCGAATAAGAATGATCATGAAAATTATTGTTATTTATACTTTCCAACACAACATTTTGATATTTTGGATATAATTTTTCCACTTCTTCAACTATTTCTTTCTATAAAGTAACAAAAAACTTACATATTTGCATGTACTTGTCAAATAAAAAAGTTAAATTATTTTAAATTACTTACAAATTTGGCTATATCCTCCGGAAATATACTAGGAACTGCATTCTTTTTTAAGAATCGTCTACCAGAAAAACATTCGTACTGTGATTCGTCAAAATGAACGCTGCATATTTGAGAATATTTTGAAATATTACTACTTATTGGCACAATTTCCAACCACTCCTTTAACAAATCCTTATTTTTCAACGGGAAACTAAAAAAATATAAGAAACAAAATTAAAAGTTACGTTTGAAAATTAAATTTGAGGTTATATAAGTTTATATACAATGATAATCTACCTAAAAAATGATACATCAACATCTGGTCGCCACGATGCGCTACATCCTTTAACACAACAATTTTTCACCATTTTTTATTGTTAAACACAGACTGAAAATAGAGAAAACAACGCGTTCACTGAGCGATTTGTGTGGCGTGGTGTGGCTTAGTATCCATTCATCGAAACTTTCCTAACGATCTCTGTTTATTTGTAATAAGATATGATAAAATGACGAAATTTATAATACGGATAATCGTCGGGAAATATTCGTTAGAGTATATACATTCATATTTTTATATAGACAATCTCGTTCTCGTGAGAAATTTGCGCGTAATTATTAATCTATTTACAAGTTATTAATTATTTTAATGAAATAATTCAATAGAGATCCAAATAGCAAAACGTGTCTCAGCAAAATTGCACAAATTTGTGCAATTGTGATTGCTAATTGCTTATGATGCTGGAAATTTGCTAATAGATTTGTCTTCAATTTCGAATATACTCAGTGAAAATATATAAGATGAAACATTACAACATAATGGCGGTAGCAGTACTGGAAATAGCCAATCAAATATATCCGATATGCACTTTCCTACTGCGCATCCACGGGAGTACTTATATATTTCCACCATGAATATATCAACAGTATAGCAAATAGCAAAGGCAGCAACATGCAGATAATCAGGGTGCTTTCAGTGGACTCAGTTGAGTGAGCGTTCACTGTTATTGGTGTTCTTTTAGCCCATCCAATCAGAATTTTAGATTTAGAAGAATACATCAATAGCAGCGAACGCTCATTCAACTGTTGAGTCCGCTGAAGGCGCCCAATATGTTTTGCGTTGTCGGCAATATGACAGCATTGTGTGATGTCGCATTTATCATAGCAATATAATAACAATAGTATAAATTTTAATGATGAACTTTGAATTACTGGCAAGTTGCTAGTAGTCGTAAAGTTGTCATATATGAATGCATAATAGTTTCCAACAAATAAGGATTCAATTGTTACAATTCTGATAGCAACATATACTTAGCAAGCAACATGTTAGCAGCAAGACACATTGCTATCTGGAGGTGTTTTCTTAGGGAGGAAAAGAAACAGGAAATTAAGTTAACACAAAATGATTAGATATATCAATAATAATATTATGTAATTCTCTCGACTTTTTAAACAAGTTAATAAAATGATGAATGTGTATAGAGAATATTAACAAAGATATTAATTTCAAAGTCAATTTGTACATAATATGCAATAACACAAGTTTACAACGTTTCAACACTGTTCATAATTCAAGAATTAAAATTTTTCTTTACATAGATGTTTAAACAATATCAAATATATATATAATTATTTGTATACATTAAATCAATATTATTTATAAATTATAGAATAATGTAAGTGGACGGTCCTAGATAACAAAAGATACTATGTTTTACATTATTATAAAATGTCTTAAGTCTAATTAGCATCAGTTATTGGCTTAATTGATGGAACGGTACTGTTTGCAGAAGAAATGTAATTTCTTATTTTCTCTCTTTCTGCTTTTTTTATCTATTAGCAGATGTAAGGAGGACTTGTTTCAAAAAATATGTCCTTGTATGCTTGTTCGTCAGCCTAAAGTTAATCTACATATACAATATACATTCTTATAATTATTTTGCTTATTATTCTATTGTTTTAAGTACAATTTTATAATGTATGAGCCTATATGTATATATATATGTACATGTGTACATACATATATACATATATATAATTATGTATAATAAAACTATTTCTTTTTTGTAATATTATTGAAAAAATTAATGTACACCTCCACAATCAAATAATAAAGTAAAAACAAATAATGCAAGAAAATAATACTCTCTTAGAAATACAATTTTTCGCTTTTGTATGTACATTTATAAGCGCACTGATATATGCAGATGATATTTTGATTATAAATTATGAGATTATATGCAAATAATGTACATTTAAGTTTTTATAGAATACTATCTGTGTACAAAATCACCTTCTACATATATACATTAATTTTTTATTCATATTCTATCTTATCGTAAAAATTATTATTTTTAAATATCGATCTTCAAATGAACTCTCTCTTATCATTGATCCAAATAACTTTTTTCACTATATAAAAACTCCAAATTGTTTACTGAGAAAATATTTAATAGAGCATATAATTTATCTTTGATTTTATCTTATACATGTTACAGATATTTATAATATATATTTAACAAATTTATCTCAATAAAACTTTTGAAAAACTTAACGGTTGTTAAATAAAGTTACTCATATATCAATCGTCAGATTTGTTTGTACACAACACATAATACAATGATAAATTACCCTTGTTTCTTCAGTCCTTACAGAAATATATTACAAATGTTTGCAAATTTTATATGCACTTAAACTTTTCTCCCGAAATAACATGATGAGACCAATCTTTAATCTTAAAGTATTATCTCCGTTACTAACGGAACTTTTTCCATTTCTTTTTCGTTTTTATCGATAAGATTATTTCTGATTGCGTTTACAGAAAATTTAGATTATTATTTTAAGAATAATTTTGTCAAATTGTTAAGTGTAATTTACAAATTATACGTCCACGTTCCTTTTGCCGATTGAATATAACGAAGTGGTGTAACTGTATTCCTAACATCAGGACTTTTTGATCTTCTGACACAATCTTGGCTTAAAACTCTACATCCCTGACTCAAAATGACATTGTTATAACTACCACGAGGAATACTGTCACTGCTCGCTACGCGTCTTACATCATTATTTTTTCTCTCATAGTAATTTCTTGATGGCGAATTGTCCAATACGGAATTTTGTATTTTACACATGGATTGATTATTTCCGAGTAATCTTGGACTTGGATCAATCGATACTGTTTTCAGGCTGTGTGTTGAGCAAACTTTTTCGGCACATTCATTTCGTCGAATTTGACATTTATCATTATTTTCTTCGAGTAATTGATGATCAAATATATGGTGTTCGTCATCATTGTAATTCCCATCTTTATCGGCATATTGGCTCAAAGTGATTGTGGAATCAAGTGAATCCGAAAATTCTGGGCTGGGAACAGAAGACATGCTGCCGATATGAGAGAAAGCGACCGTCCCCTGTGGATTTTGGGGACGGTGTCAGAAACATCATTCTTCTAGTTCATCCATTCGATTTCTAACAGCCATTTCTACCACTTCCAGACTTGGATAATCCAATTCTTTAACCAAGCATAATACAGCAGACAATATATTTGAATTCTGAAAAGGAAAACGCACATTATAGGAAATGCTTTAAATTTTATCATGTATACTTTAAAACAATGCCATAAACATACTCTTGTTACTGGCCGCCTGTGATAATGAAATTGATTCCTGCATTTGTCTTTTTCAGAATGTCTTATCCAACCCGGCATTTGATTTGCGTCTTCCTGTAAATAATATTAAAACATATTAATTTGAATAAAAACTTTTTATATACAGCATTCTGTATTATAATAATGTCTGGTCAACTAATCTTATGGATTGCATAAAGTTTAATATGAGATGAAAATAATACACTTATATATATATTAGGTGTTGGAATTAATTCGTAGCGTTTTACAAGTGATGGGAAGTACTTTCATTAATGTATTTTTTAATGCTCATGTGAAATAAATAACATTCTTTCATTAAAAAACGCTACGAATTAATTCCAACACCTAATATATTTATCTAACCTTTTCATTATGATGAGCCACTACCATTCTTCTTGTTTGAGGTGTCGAAGGAGGTTGTGGCAAATCTTCATATTCTAATCTTGATCTTTCATCATAATTATAGTTATTTCTGTCATTACGTTTATCATCTGCAAATTCATTGACAGCATATTGCGTACGTTGTGGTGTTGATGTATACATACGCTGAGATACTTCATTTCCGCTATATTCAGAATATGCTCGCCTTTCGTCATAATCTCCATTATGTCGCTGTACTATTGGACGTTCATCGTAATCCTAAAACATTGTTTTTTATAAAATAATTGCTAACAATGTACACTATGTAAATTATATTTAAAAGGAAAAAAGTTTTACATTTTAATTGTAAAATTTCTATCTTATATTATTACAATAAGACATTAATAAATAAAAAACGAATATCTTCTATTTATCTTAAATATATATAATGAATATATGTATAGCATAATCAGATATTAGATTATTTAACATTTTAGTTTAAATTTTTATATATTTACGAGGTTTTCATGTTTGTTCTGTTTAATAGAATTATTTATATATTTTATCATAAAACAAATTATTATTCTATAAATTACAAACTCTGTCTTGTAATTTCCAATCTATCGATCCTTTTCAATATAATCAGAAGAGATATATAAGTCTTATATATAGATTTTAATAAATTAGTATTAAATCTTATTCATTTATAATTTTATTTTGAGCAATATGAAAAAAAATGTTAGAAAATATGTTAGATTAAGCAATTGTTAAAGCAATTAAGAAAAAAAAGGAAAATTATATATCATTAAACATCTCCTAAGCTGAGTCATACAAAGTGACATGTAGCTAATAATGATTGCTTGTCTAATAATGATTGCTAACAAACGTTAATATGATAGTATTGCTGATATATTATGAAACATATTTGTTTATATTATGGATAATATAAATGAAATTGCAAATGTGCTTAAAAATGAGCTGTACTTAAATGTACCTTGGATTTTTCAAGAGTGTTAGTGGTCACAGTCTCACTGTTGCTTCGTGACTCTGCACACAAAGTGTCATCTTTGCTCTGACTCTTTGATTGTCCATTTTGTAGCTGTTAGTATAACCAAGCGACTTTAAGTTATAATTATGCTTGCAATCTAATTCTTTTAATTTAATTGGTTAATATGTTCAATAATAACATAAAAATAATGAATTAATCACATATTTTTATTCTAATATAAAAATATTGCGTTTAAGATATAACATATTAAAATAACTGTTCAGCATAGTTTAATAGGTATTAATAGTTATTTGCGTTCAGAAATAATTATTAAACAGTTTTACTCCTATTTTATGATATGCATGACTGACCTCATATGCATATTGATTATTTTGTGAGTAATGATGTGACGATGACGCATTATAATTTGCGTTTCTTCTATCAGGATCATATTCTTCATGCGTATGTTGCGTTTCATCAAAGCTTCTCTAAAAAATAATTTTACATGTATACATACATATATATATATATACATATATATATATGTATATATATATATATATATATGTATATGTCTCTATTCTTTAATAATCTTGTGAGTTACCAAATAATTTTAGTGATTGGTAAGAAAATCGATTAAAGAATACATTAATTTGTTATTACCTGATCACTAGAAGAACTGTACCTCCTAGATCGTCCCAATTCATTTTCTTCAATGTATTCAATTGTAATATCCTAATTTAGTTATAAATGTTATTTTTAGCATTTCAATGATTGTTAAAAACGCACTTAAAATACATGTAAAATACAATTTTTTAAATTAATACATCTATCAATATTCGTATAAGTATATGAATTTTAGTAACAATTAAATGTGAAGCTATTAATCTTAATACATAAAGCGTAAAGTATAAAAAATTACTATTGATTGCTATTAATGAACTAATATGATTAATTGCATATAAGAAATATTTTAGTATTCCATCAGTTTATTATTATTATGACTATATTATTTTTGTTATATTCTTTGAAATATTTTTACCTCTGGGCTTACTACATCTGATTGTGGAGAAGCATCTATTTCAAGAGGATGTGTTAAAGGTCGACCTATTGTCATTGCAGTTTGTACTTCTTCGGGTGATACTATTTTATCATCTAACTTTTCAAGATTTGGCAAAGCTCGAAGTACAGAAAATCGATATCTATTAAAATAGGATTATAATGATGCATCATAAAGTTCTTATAGTTTCTAATTTTAAGAGTATTTGTTATTAAATATTTACCCTTCCCTTTCTGCACATGGATTTTCACCGAGCCACAAATTTCGTAAATTAGGTAATCCTTGAAGATAGCAAATTTCATTTAAATCTTTGATATTATTTCGTCTTATAAATAAATCTTGAAGTTTGTGGCAGTATTGAAAATCAGCAAGTGTATTAATGTTATTTATGCTAAAAATACATATAAATGTAATTATTATTTTTTTATTTCAGATAGAGAAAGAAAGAGAAGAAAATTTATCCTTTAAATTAAACAGTTTCAAATTAATATATTCTATTTTAAATAACAAAAAAGTAAAGTTATTAATATTTAATAGCAATTCGCATGTAATAGTTTGTACAAAACAGTTTTGTTAACTCATTTTTATTTCATACATATATACATAATATAAAATGAATTAATATGAATCATATACATATAAATATAAATCAAATTTAATTAATATAAAAGAAATCTACGTTATAGTATTTATTTTTATTTTTGTTAATATTATATAAGAAAAAATTGTTAATGATTTTTAGTGATTTTAAAATAAAAATTACATGCTTTATTATAATTATAATCGTTCATTATAATTGTTCCAAATGTATAAGTAAAACAGACTTTTTATAAAATCAATTAAAAATTGTAACACTACGATTACTGAAATAGAAAATTGCATAGGAACACACATATATTTCTTTTCATACATATTTAATATATATTTTTTTAAGTTATTTTCTAAAAGGAAGAAAATTGTACATTTTTATCTCTTCCTTATTTCCTAAAAGAGCTCAAGTATCTCTTTATATTATAAGTTAATATATCAAAAAATAAAAAAATAAAGGAACTTTATTTTTTATTATCTTTTTTTATTATTTTTGATTAACTTTATTATCTTTTTTTGAAATAAATTTCAGATATTCTAGATATTGATCTTCATATTTGCTCATTTTTCAATATTTATCTCACACGAATCACAATGAATTCAAAGCATGTGTGGGTAGAACAACTTTTAAAGTTGTGGGTTGTGACCATGAGTTTAACATAATTATATCCAAAGTAGGAATACATTGCAGCCTCTATGTTTTTGTAAGATGAAAAATATCTTAGATCATGATCATCAATAGAATGAGTTTACGTTTCTGCGTAATAAACTGTTTATTACTAAGCATTTTAACATATGATAATTTTTCGGTTTTTTATTACACACAATTTCATGTTTCAGATTTTCATTTACTAATATATATAAATTGTTAAATGATTCTTACATATATTTTAATATCTTTAGAAAGTTTTGGAAGGTTGCGTATTTAGAAAAAGAAAAGAATAGAGTTCATTAATTAATCAGGTGCTCCTAGTATTTTAAAGAAAAGAATGTGTAGAATACAAATAACTCAATCATGTGCGTTAAAGGATAATCTGCTTTATAACGTCATTTTAAATTGCATATTATATTATTATGAATGAAATATAAATTACAATATTTTTTTATTTTAATAATCATTTAACTATTTTATCAAATTTCAACTTACCTTAATGATAATACTTCCACGTTCTTCATTTTTCTTAAAATACTGACATCTGTTAATTCTGTTCCCCTGTGTAAAAAATATATTGATTTAATTCAGTATAAAGGAAAAAATATTGTTATAATTTACTTTTTACAGAGTCATTCCAAAATAAATGACCAAACTTTACAAGAGCATTTATAATTCAATGTTCATTTCCTGAATTATAAATGCTTTTTGTTGCAACAATGTTTATAAATTGAATCAAAGCAATGCTACAGAAACAAAATAAGAAATATATACATTAATTTTTTTAATAAGTCACATTTATTCAATAAGTTAATTATTTAAAACCTTAAACAACATTTTACTGGCATGTTTTGTTTATAAAAATATTCCTAAAGCATTTATAAAAACATTCCTAAAATTTATCTATGTATCGTCATATTATTATGTATGTATGCATTTGAATATAAACAAGTACTAGACAGTAGGTAGAATTCGTCAGGTATATTTCCACGTATTCTTTCACATGCCAGAGTCTCGCAAATAGCAGTTAGTTACGCTTGGGTGATCATAATTCTCTTTTTTCCCATGGTATTGTAGAAAAATTTGATAACCTTGTCGCACGGTTTTTGTTCGTACGTGGCCAAATCAAAGCATGTTTAATTGCTTCGAAACAACCGAGTCGCCGTAATTAATTCATATGACATAAACGGTGCCGTTAATGAGATCTGTCGTTGATATGAATATACTCACCAGCAATTGAGTTTCTTTACAGCAGAAAAGTCAGACACTCGTGTGCGAGCCACGACCATCTCTTCGGTCAACTTCACCATTATGTCATTCGCGTATGGACGTTATTATACAACAAAAAATTGATGTGCGGTCATCCGAGAAGAAATTCGATGCAATTAATTCACGATAGAAATCGTGTACGAGATCACGGTAAATTTTTCGAGCAAAACGCACCCTAACCGATCGCCATGATGCCTTACTGTCGACTAGTCTGCCACTCAGCTGCTGCTGAGTCGCGAAGTAGGCTGCAAATGCTTTCACTGATCGCTCACTTCTCACCGCACTCTAGTTCATGCGCACCTTAGCAGCTTTACGAGTACGGTCGGTTGCGTTAAATGATGTCAGGCTCATTCATACTTGATGATCATATCTGTACATTTTTACGATACTTGCGCCTTTTCGTTAAGTAAATTATCGATTAACTCAATTAATTCTTTAATCAATGTTTATGAATTATTAATTTAATTTAGACACGATGTGCATCGCCCATGCGAATACGTCGATATTGATGCAATTTAACACGTAATATACTATATGTATATATATATATATATATATATATATATATATATGTTTGCGACGTACTGCGCATTCATTATTTTCTTCAATAATATTAGATATATAAAAAATATATATTGATTCCGCGGGATTCCATATAGAAGTATCAAATATTAAAATATTTGATTGATAGTAAGAACGTGTTATGTACATATATAGACTAAATATGAGAAAAAGAATGTACATATACGTGTAGTATATAAATTTTAAATATTTGTTTAATAATACTAACGTAACTTAACATTTACTTATGGTAAATAAATACATATTTATTAAATAAAAAAAATGATAGTTAAATAATTTTTTATCGTACCATAAATAAATAATATATTCATGTTTACTAAATATTCAGCTACTATTCAAACAAATATTCATTAAAATTTAATATTTTTTTTTTCATCAATCGGTATAGAATTATCAGTCGTATTTTTTTGAAGTCGTAAAATTTCTGGAATATGATACTTTTTATTGATATAATTCTTATTAATATAATTAAAATAAGACTCCTCAAATATTTAAAAAATTAAAGAATCAATAATATACGTAGAGAAGTATTTTATTATTATTTTCTTGGCAATCGACATGTCAACTACTCTCAAGAAATGAGATGTCATTTATTTAACTATGTTGTTTATATTTCTTAATAATTTAATGAGAAATGTTTCAGATTATGAATATTCCTTATTAGTTCATTACATTTTTGCTATTTACATTGATTGTAAGATGTGAGTGTATAAGTTTGTTGTAATCTGCCTATCTTGTGGAGTTTTCTTATTTTATCTAATCATTTAATCACGATGGAATAAATAGGAATCTTTGCAGTGAGGCAGATGGTTGGCATTAGGATTGCACGGCTTATGTTAACATAAACGTAATAATTTATTTAATTCGTTGAGAATGACTTGAAGTCGAAACGCGTACGAAGATATAGTTATATTAATATATATATTGAACTTTTATTATTACATTATTATTATACTTGCTCACTAATTATATATCGCGTTGATTCCTACTTCTCTTACACATATATTGGTTCTTTAATTTGAAAATTATATTAATAAGAATTATATCAATAAAAATTATGTTCTAGAAATTTTATCTTATTCATATAAATTATATTGTAGAAATTTTATTTATATCATAAATATTTATCATAATACCAATGTAGACAGTTTTACATCATTTAACGCATAAAAAATTATATCTCTTTCTTCTTCCACAGTCAACAACTTTTTTTAAAAAAGTATATATATTCTTTATTTATAATTTAGATATGATAGATAATCCGTAATAAATAAGTGTATGTATCTCTCGATTATTATTTTTCGTCTCTCGTCTCTTAACGTTGATTTAAATGCGGCGCGCATGAGCAGTACAGTTTGTGACGTCTTCATCCGACAGTGATGCCAACCCAAATGGAAGGGATGCGTACACAGGCAGAAACCAAATGTTTGTGCTCCGACTGCTTCGAGACACATCTCGAGACCGGTCATGTTGGCAGGCGATTTGTTTCCGACTTTCTCGCGCCTTTTTACTGTCAGAAGTGAATCATCAGTGCACATAAGTATTATTGAGTATTATTGTCGAAATAACTGAATCATATGATTCTTGGACAGCAACGGATTACCGATCTTGGAACGGCAAAGCGGCAAGCAAGTCAAGCAAGTGCCGCAGTGGCTGGTGCTGGTAAGCGGAAATAAGTTTAAATTTCGATACTACAGATATGCGAAACTGATCCTTACTGACTCATTAACGACAATTTCAGACGAAAGCGAAGTGTCGTGGTATCTCTGTTCGGATCTGAGACAAAGACAAGAATTGTCGTAACAATTACCTAGACTTAAATTGTGACGTAAGTAACGGACAAGCTTTCACGTACGACGTACAACTTATTACCGTGTCTCCAAGAGACGGCAATAGATCGTACATCATACGCCTTGTGCATTTCTTACGTCTACAATTTAAATCTCTAAGTAAGTGTTACGACAATTCTTGTGCTGCAGATTCTTCCTATCAAAAGTTCGAATTGCCAGTACAAACAAACATCAGGAGCGTCGATTATTCCACGTAAGTGTCACGTATTATTTCGTAGTAATCATAGCGTCATGGCGATACGTCATTACGGAGCGGCGGTAAATATATCGGTAAGAAACGTAATCGCGGCGATGCAAGTTGCAATAAGTTTAGATTTCGACGTTGTAGATATTCGAAAATGCTTATTCCAACACGATCCGCATATGTGCAGTTCGTAAATGATGTAATTGTAGTAGTTTTAATTTGTCACGATGGATGTGCAAAAATGATTCTTTTAAATTCATTTGAATGTGACGCATATGTGCGGAACAACTATTTCACGCTGAATTTTTCGTAAATCCGATTGATGATCTTTGATCTCGCGTCTTTTTATCGTCGAGAGTGAATCGATGATGTATACAGACGAGAGTATAAAAGTGGAGCGCCGAATTGTCGATAGCGTACAAAAGTCTCGTCGATCGTGATAATGGACGTGTCGGTGTCGATATCGAACGAAAATCATAACCTTAGATGACATAAAATAATCTCAGTAAGTTTAAATTTCGATGCAGAGATAACGGCAAGAGATGGTGATAGATTAGAAACGTCATGTCCTCAGATAGCACAGAGTTCAAAAAGAATTCAGTGATATGTCATCAATATTCTGAAAAGAATTCTTGTTGCATCTAAAAATGAGTTTAGAATTGAGGATATTGAACTCAGAACAATAAGTCATTATGATATCAAAATGATGTCAAAATGATTCCAAAATAATCATTAAAAGTCATTTTCGATTCATTTTGATGTCATTTTGACATTATCGAGACTTGTTTCTGCTTGGGAATTCTTTTAAACTCTCTGTGCTATCTAAAGACATGATGTTTTTTTGTTGAAAATATGTATTATTTGATCGTAGCATCAATGATAGATTGACAATTTGAAGCTTTTACGATATTAAATTGCGTCACTAATAGAAAATTTGTATTGTAATACTTCGTTAAATATAATATATATTGATATTAAACACAATCAGGAAAAAGTGATTTTTATAATAGAAATAATTTAACATTAACATCGAAAAGGAATAATAATTACATTTGAAAATAATCGCTGCTGCAAAACATTACTGCTAATTATTATCATATATTATATTTCGATTAATGTATTCAATTTATTCATATAATCAATGTTAAAATTATACTGTTTAAATAAGAACTACAATTGCACATAGTTTATATTTGAAACACTGACGATGGCATTAATACAGCAAATGTGCACTAAGTTCCATCACTAAGTAAACTCCATGCAACAGTATCGTAGTAATATTAACACAGCAGATTAATTATGTGGGAGTTAAAATATTGATTTACAAATATTGATTTTTTTACAAACATTATTTACATTCTCGCGATTAAAAAATTGTAAAATTGCTATATTTAATGTTGTGATCGCAATATCTACGAAATTATGTGATTTAATTGAAATATGTAGTATTTATGTACATAATTGATAATATTTATACAATATTAATAATATTTATGCACGTATATGTATGACACTGAAAAAAATTTGCTATATATCTTAATAAATAAGTAAGAATATTCAAGTCTATAACGGTCGAAGCTAGATCTTTAGTGCTTAAATAATTTAATGTGAATTATAGGTAGAGCGAACTAAACTGAATCGAAAAGTTCTCTATCATTTTGCAATTTTTGCAATAGTTAACAAGATATTAAATATTGCCGAAAATTGGTTATTTTCAATAATTTTTTACTCAAATACTATCAACTTTACAGAAAAACTGTAAGAGATAAAAATTATTATTTTCTTCTCATAAATTCTAAGAATTTTTTCAGAATTTTTTATCAACTTTTTAGTACTATATTTTTTTATTTTTACAAATATGAAAAAATACGGTATTAAAAAATTTTGAAAAAATTCTAAAAAAATTCTTAGAATTTTACGAAAAGAAAATAAATAATTTTTATCTCTTACAGTTTTTCTGTAAAATTGATAGTATTTGAGTAAAAAATTATTGAAGACCAATTTTCGACAATTTTTAGTAATTAATATCTTGTTAATTATTGTTACTTATAAATTACAAAATGGTACTTTTCAACTTAATTTAATTCGCTCTATCTGCCCATGAAATATTTGGCGATATTTTGGGACACCCTATATGTACATGCAATATATATATTATATTTGTAGCTATTCAAATTACTGGAATAATATCACAAATTAAATTGACAAACAAATTTTTAATAATTTTGATGTTTAATCTGGTATCATATTAGAAGAATGTTAATGTGCTGAAAAACTCTTTAAATAAGTTTATTGCGAAAATTTACCCTCGGCCGGGACTTGGAACCCGGATCTTTTGTATTCCATACGAGCATCCTTTAGCCATTAGGTCGGAATCAGACTATACATTGAAGATTGAGATTAAAGATTAAAGATTGAAATTTCAATGAGAACAAAGAAATTTTGGTTTCTTTTGTTCTGATTGGTCAAACTTCAATCTTTCAATCTTCAATGTATAGTCTGATTCCGTCCATTAGCTTATAAATGATCAAATTTTTATCAAACATATGAAAGTTGATTCAACTTATTCTTCGAAGTTGATTCAACTTATAAGTCAAAATTCAAAAGAATTCCCGTTTGAAGGAAATGTGACTTGGTTATATTACTTAATTTCAACCTCCAGGGGATATGATTTAGTTGGTCAGAATTACTTAATTTTGCCATATACAAGTCCTTTGTGTTTGACTTGACTATTAAGGGAATATTTAAGGCGCGAAATAAACCTCATGTCATGCTAGAAGTTACTACAAAGTTGAGATTACTAAATGACTTATAAGGAAAATTATCCAAGATTAGCTCGAAATGCTCAGCAAAATTGCCCTGAAAGTTAATTATTGGTTTTGAAGCTTATTGAAAGTCGCCATTTGTAGTTATTGTGTCAAATTCTGTTTGCTGTGCAAATTTTATAAGATTTTCATCACATTAGAGCTATTTTTTGCCCGATATTGATCGAAGAGTGAGAAATCGCTTGGTCAAGCAGGACGTGTTTTTCTCTCTGTGCTGGGTGTTGTCATTTCTAAAATTTTTAAAAGTGTGATTGACTTTGACTGTGCATTGTAAACTGAGCCAAGTTTATTCCGTGACGGAGACCAGAGATGTTGACACAAGCAATATTTACATTCACGGTGTCACAGGCATTTCGATATGTATCGATTCAGCGATCTCTTCTTCTTCGCGTGAGAATGGCTCCGACTTTAACACAGAGTCGATACGGCCAGAATCGAAAATGCCGCTTATGTGGTGAATAACAAAAAACAATATGAAGAATACGAAAGTCTAAAAGAGTAATATAAATTCAATTGAGCGTTTGAAGTCGGTCGCACTTTCTAAAAATGATGACGCAATAACACATCCGATCACGTCGGTAGACGAGCATCAATTGATCCAGTGATCTCGACTAAGTCAATTTAACTTATAAAGGGAAATTGGACTTGTTAGTCAGATGCTTTATTAATCGATATGGGATGCTTTCCAGCAATGACACAGTTAGACACAGAGAATTGTTTCATCCTTGTTTAAGCAAACAACAAGGATGTAATGATTCACTGTGTTACACTGTGTTTGACTGTGTCCTTGCTAGAAAGCACCCAAGATGTCCTCAAAGTCAACGATTTGGAAATAATGCCTTGATTAATGAAATTTGCTCTCAAAGTTAGGCATTTGGCTTTCACAATAAGGAAATTCGACCTACAAGTCGAAATTTAGACGAAAACGTTAAGTCAGCCATCATTACGAGAACTATTCTGTCCGCCATAATATATTAAAACGCTTTCCAAAATTATGCATTATAAAATAAATTATACTGTATCTCTCGGAATGATTACAAATTGAAAAAAAAAAATATTTCACGCTACTTTTAATAGACGCAAGATAAAAATATTTTTATTGTACTAAGTGTAAAATATATTATTGTTAACTAATTAATAATTAATTAATAATTGTTTAAATTATTTATTTTCGAAGACACGTTGGTTTTAGTGAAGTAAAATACAAATCTGTACAGAAAATTTTCTTTCGCACTTATATTTTTCATCATATCATTATATCACGCGATATTCAATTTTAAAACTGACGTGAAGATGGAACTCTGTTAATATTTTATTTCGAACTTCTATGACTTAGAGCCTTATCAAGCATGTTATGTAGCATGATTATCCGTTTAGGTAGAATTAATATGAAAATGTGCAGCACTAGCAAAAGAAGAGAGGGCACATGTTAGTCAGAATTAGGTCAAAATTACCAAGATATTATTGATATTCGACATTCTGTTAGGTTTATTTGATCAAATCCGACTATGACTTACAGGGCGCGAAGTGTCTTCCATTTCCTCACACCTAATTTTGATCGTAAAATTACTTTACTTCAACTTTATTCCTCACTTACCTTTTATCGATTTACGTCGATTTGACATAAATTAGGCTTGGTCAAACAGATTTTATAACTTATTAGAAAGTCGAATAGACGTAATTTCGTCCTATTTTTGCTGCTTGGGAAGAGATCCGGATTCAAGTCCCGGCCGAGGTAATACTTTTCGCAATAAATTTATTTAAAGTTTTAATTTCAACACATTAACATTCTTCTAATATGATACCGGATTGAACATCCAATCGCTGTGTCGTATGTGTGAACATTTAATTTCAATTTAACTCTGACAAAACACTTTATATATATATTTCTATATTAAAATGAGGTAGAATTAAAATAATTTACACTTATTTTTTTGTAACAACATTTTGCCATTTGATCATTACAAAATAATTTTGAAAAATACAATTTTTTATTAAAAAGTACGTACTTTCTAATTTTTATTTCTATTACTTTTCTATTATGTTTTGTTAGTTTAATAGAGACAATTTATATTGTGATATGTACTAATTTACCCCACATCTCGAGGCAAGGGACATAACTACAATGCAGCATGTCCGTATTTCATTTATTGCAAAGAAATTATATAGTGTATAGCACTATTACTGGTATGAAAATGTAGACAAAGGGTCTTTCTATCATATTGACATATTTTAATCATAATGATTAATTTAAAATTAAGTTAAAAAAATCTAATGCCGAAATTGTAAAAACTGTGTCCATGAGATCCGGTCTCTCCTAATATATGTAGCGATTAGCAATAATTCTGATCTTTTTTTATTAGCCATAATTATCGTTTGTAATCAGATTTTTATGAATTTACTTGTAACAATATAAAAATTTGTTTTGTTTCAGAAAAATAAACGCGAGTAAACAAATGTCGGGAGTGCTGAATTAACATTGGAACATTTATTTAAAAAATTCTAAGTAATTCTTCGCGATAGATTCACGATGTTGCAAAGAAGATACTGTAGACGTGCTTTCCATCTTTATAAGTGTGAAAAATTGGATTGAATCGAAACGGGAACGAAGGATAAGATTTTCAACTTTAGTGGAACATGCAATACGTGGAACGGAAATACGTGGGATTGGCATCTCGGTGAGTCCATTAAGCATTCAATAGTATTTAATTTTTCGGGTACAATAGTTTATTTTCATTGTCATCTTCATCTCCAATACATACAATACTCGATATATAATGATTCAATAATGTCATTAAATACGAAGTACGAAATCTATCTAAACGCTAATTTCTCTAGATCGGTACTTTGTCTCGTCTCTTTCATACAAATCAAAAAGAAAAACGCTCGATAATTAATTATTGACAATTATTAATATATAGATAGGTAAGCGTCTTGTCTTTCAATTTATCATAACTGTAAAGCGTCGGAACCTACCTTTGCGAGATAAATTAGATATTAATATATATATTTTCATAAAAATTTTACCCTTGCTACGCATCCGCTTACGTGCATGCGTATCTCGGCTAAAGTCCTTTTTATGAAAGTTCGTAAAAACATCAAGCGTCGATGGGAAGACCATGTTTCTTACGAAAGCTTAACACATTTGATACGTTCGCGGACAATATGATTTTGCTCTAAATACTGAATTAGAATCGTCGATTTTTAAATTAATCTAAAAGAAACAAATTTTACATCAATACAAAAATAGTTCAATAAATTGAAACATATTATTGATCAATAATTAACATCTGTGAATAAGTAAATGTTTGAATAAATTAATAATATTGTTAATATGTTACTATTGATTAATTTTTCTCTGTTGATAATCTAAACAAAACTGTTTTCCAGTTTTTAATAATAAGATACGATTCTGATTTTTTTAGCGATTGACATCATTTTGTCCGCGAATGTATTAACTAGCAACGACTGTGCAAAGTAATATTACATTTTATTAATGAAGCTCTATGTGATATAACGAACATTGTGCGACTTGGCCATTTGGCACGACGGTTGTACGATGAACATAAAGAAACTTAAGACGAGTCAATTGCAAATATGTTTTTTTTTCACATTTCGTTCAATGCTTGTAACATTCGTATGTTAAGTATGTGCTTGTACATGCATACATGTATGTATGATAAGAATCGGAAGTTGAGATTGTAATTTCGAAATGATATTCAGACGCGACGATATCGGAGGGGCAAGGTACACATGAATTAGAGCTGGGACGTGACTTGGGTGTGAACAATATTCGATACTCGATAGACATCAGATGTAAATATGTATCATGATGTAAATATGTATCGATTGTATCTCGAGTAATTTATTTTGAATAGGCAATGAATAGATAATAGTTCCTCATAGTGCGCGATACAACTTTTTTTTTGATAATAATGCGCAAGAAAAATTTATGTTAGAACAAAATATATTGTATTTTTTAATAATGATAATAGTGCATAATAAATCGCAAATTTACCGGGTACTTTTTCTCATTTTTGCAATAAAATAAAATAGCTCTCGGATGATTCAATGGTAGAATAACGATATAGATATGTTAATTTAATAGTTAATGGCGTAAAGTCAAAATAGATTCAACTAATAGAGAGCAGATTAATTTTATATCCGAATGCAAACAGGTTTTGTGTAAAATCATCTAACATCTAAGATTATAATTAACATGTGAGCAATAGAGTTTGAAATTAATGGATTATATTGTATTTCTAAATGTCAAACGGTCGTAAACTTTTTTTTATTGCAAATTTAGCTCTGTATAATCTTCTACCATGCTACGATAATTCCTCTCTTTATTTCTGCTGTAAATCTCCCGATATAATTCGTTTCGACTATTGAATTAATTTTCCCAGCTCTAGCATAGATACTCTACTCTCACGCAAAATATACGACACGTTATTACGCATGCGGGCACCGTCTTGTAAACGTCTAATAAAACTCGATAAGTTTTAGTATATTGATGGTACGTATATTTTATTAATCGTCGATTGAAATTACGAATTCACTTCAATAGTATCAGTCGAGGTGATCTAGGCGTTCATCTATCCACCCCTTAATCTTGATTAGCTCTTCTTGTCTCGCGAGACTCAACTCGTGTGACATAGACTAGGACACTTTGTTAAATATGTATAAGTTTATATCAAGAGATCTTTTTTGTTGTTCATCGAAAAATCATCTAAACGTAAGTTTCTCGAAATGGAAGATTCACTCTTGCGTACGACGGTAGGAACGACAACGAGACGCTTTATTTCGAAAGAGAACTAGATCGAAGAATTTTAAATTTTTAAAATTTTAAATTTTTTTATCCAAATACGCATAAAGCTTGCAACGGGCGCTATGAGAAAAATCCGTTTTTTGTTGATCATGCTTGCTAATTTTGTCGAGTAGATATCTTTAATACTGTTTTGTTTATATTTAATTTAATATTATGTGCTAAATTTGTTATATTTAAATAATTTCTATAGTGTTCCATGTTTTAATATATAATTTTATTTTAATATATGATACAGCAATTTCAAAAAACATTAAAAGATTGTGTTGAAGATTCATTTGGATTCATGTATGTAAAAAATTAATATTTAATTTACGTTACATGCAAACATTTATTATGCATGCGGTTAGCATACATTTTTAAGTTAAACAATTTCAAGTTGTTTTTTTTTATCAAAGAATTAAGATATTTATCAAATAAACGATTTATTATGCGTTTATCGTGTCGTTATCGTTATCAGCCGTCGCAATTGCGCTACCATATATTGTACGATACGTGTATTGTTTCCATATGTTTAAATTACGAAATAGACATTGAATAGGAAAGAACATTTGGCGAAATGTTTGAAAAAGTCGAAGAGATTACAGTTTTGTATTAGAACGATTTTACGTTTAGATCGCGTTAAATTGACCATCTAGTGGATAATAACGATTAATTATCACGAATATCGAGAGTGTGATGGGTTTTTCTATGAAATATTTGAATTGTATTCGGATACATAAATTTAATTACGATGCATAGGTTTGCGATCAATTAATCGTGTATGTAGCCACGATAGTAAAATAGAAACTTGAATCCCTTATTCTTTGACAATAATTTGCACTGGCCTTGCACTTTATGTTATACTTCTCTGTTAAGGGTAGACGTTAAATGTCCATAAAATTTTATTTCACACTTTTTATAGTATACTTAACTTTTTTTATGGTAAATAATTGCGAATATGATGTGTCTGGCATTCTTAGGAAAATATTAAATTACTATAAGCTCATGTTCATATATATTTTTCATTTAATGAGGTCACCGATTTGCTATTGAGATGCAGCACGTCGGTAAAAGAGAGAGAAGGCAATCGCACAAAAAGTGACCCATAGATATAAAGTATACAAAAATTATATTGATTATGTACGATCTGTGCAATTTACTTCTAATTGGTATTCACACTTTGATATTCTTAGTATTAGAATGGATTGTGAAAACGTAATTTAAATGTTTAATTGAAATGATTGTTATCATGTCCTGTTATCGATGATAATGATAATCAATACAAGTGATGCGATTGCAATAAAAGGACCGACGTGCAAGTAATTAGTTGAAATTATTGTCATTGATGTTGTTTAACTTATTATTAATGATTAATAATGCCAGGAGTGAATTTTTGAAGTTACATTTAAGTACGAAGCACAAGTACGAAGTTCGCAAGTATTTTAATCCACTAGATTGTATAAAATGGAAAAGTCACCGTTGTAAATTGTTTTCAAACGATTACTCTGCACTTACGCTTTCCCTATTTAAATACGTTTTGCAAGATTGCATATATATTACGAGTTTTATTTTTTATGTTTTACGTAATATACGTTTATATACGTGTGTAAACTAAAATGTTTTGCTGACGAACGAATTACAAGTTTACTTCCGTAACATGGTAATATTCGATCACACAGGCACGAAATAGTCCAACTAATAACAGTCGTTACTATCAATATGTATATGTGTGTATCATTACGATTTGCACTATAACTTATTAATTATCATTATAATTTTTATCAATTATTATTATTATTATTACTCTTATTATTATTATTTTGTAGTTATTAGTATTATTACATTATTATATTTCTGGTGTCGAGAATATCTCATCATTTGCATAAAGAACCACAAGCCGAACGTCATATGGATATCTTCTGTGTGTAGTTGTGTAAAAAAATTAAATTATCTTTTCTTTGGATACAATAAGCACAACCGACAGCAACAAATAGACAATTTTTTTTTAAAGATGATATTAATCATTTGGAACAACCAATATACGATACCACATATCACCTTCATTACATGTTTAAATAAATGCTTTCGATCGAAATTATGTTGAAAAAGAAATATTTTTCCTGCTGTTAGATTTTTTTCATCATATCTAGGTGTTCGTTATAGAGGCTATTCCAGAACTATTGCACTGTTTTCTTAAATGACGTAATCTTTGATAATTTAAAGTTACTCCTTTTTCAAGGATTTTAGAAGTTACTTTTTTCGCAACTCGTCTTAAGTCTCAGAAAAACTTCTATTAAGAAAAAATTGACTCCAAATTGATCACAGCTAAAATAAAAGGCGATAGTTTTGGGATATCCTTATGTTATATCTAGGAGCGCACGTGAGACGAGTATGCGCGTACATATGCTATGAACAATCTTTTATCGTGAAAAAATCTAAAGCACCTAATTTCGAAAATTGAGGTAGAATCATAGAGGAAAATGGATTTGATGGACTATGTATGGTAGATAATCTGAGACATTGATAATGATAAATTTTACAAGGATCACTCTTAGTAAGAATTATTAGCAATGTGCCGAATTATCTACATAAACCAATCAGGCCCACTCTCCGCTATATTGGATTAGGGACAACATACACACATAGATTATTAAGAACTCTTTAACACCGCGATTTCCAACATGCTCACGCAAAAGTAATCGGACTTGACACTGTGGGGAGTTCAGCACCTATTATATGAGATCTTAATTGATCGTAATGGATCTCGATCTAACTCTAAGCGTTTCTTTTCGCGTTTAAGTTGACTATTGACGTAATTAATAACAGTACTTCGCGAGTGAACGTTATTAACTTTTTAAGCAAAGATTAGTAATCTCTCTGCAGTAAATTCGATCGAATTATATTGTACGCGACGAAAGAAACAGCAGAAAATGACAAAAAATGAAGTATGAAGAAATATAATAGTGAATTATCGTTCGTGAATGTGTTTGTATGATGCGAATGTACTAAAGCTATTTTCATCTTTACTCGTTTCTCTCTTTTCTTTCTTTTTTCTCTCTCTCGTGCACATACTCATGAGAAAGTATTATCATTGTATATTATTGCATAGGAATTGTTCATAAGTACATATATTTAACAATATATTTCGCGAGCTTCTCTTTCTTCCGTATAGATAAAAAAACGCAATCAACTAGCGCGACGACCATCTATTCCGCGTATATATGTGTGAATCGGGCAATAAAAATAATAGAAACTCAACATTTACGATCGAACTCGCCCCCGTTTCCCCATAGAAAATATTTGTGCCGTTTTATACAAAAAAATTTGAACTTACCATTTTTATGAACGTACTCTAAATAGTCTAAATAGAGCGATAACGTATGATACAGAGTCTGTACAAAGTGCTGCGTAAATATATCTATGTATACTTATATGAATATGTCCGCAATTGCAATGCGTATGTTAAAATTTCCACGTCAAATTACAGTTTACGATGTTTCGATTCGCAAACTCGTATTCCTCGATAATTGCGATAAATAGCGACAATAGCTAATATTTCTACTCTAGGAACTCATGAGAATATCTCGATCAATCCATATGAGGTATCAATCTATCTATCCTTTCAAGATCGCTTCAAACAAACTTCGCTTAGCGTTAAAATGCGAAGATAGATCGGTCTATCAATGATTTATCGCATTTGACAAATCGGAATCCGTGGAAAGTTAAAATAGGAAAGAGAAATAACAAATGGGCGTTTTAACGTTAAATTGGAACGAGTAATCGTCATGGATATACATTCTCGTGTTGTGAAAAGATTATTTTTTGTGCAAACTCTGTATAATACATACACGCAGAACAGTGTATTCTTTCGTGCATTTATTCGTAGGTACATACATGAAATGCACGAATGGTCAACGCATTTTGTTTGCGTACGCATAACGTTGTATATACAGACGTCGCGATTGCCACGATTGTTAAAGTGGCTGTAACATTAATAATACTAGATTATCATTAAATTATTATCGCTTATTCACTTTTATCTTGCTACAATGATCATCAGTTCTCTCGCGATCTCGATGTACGACCGGATTCGTCGAACCTTCTCCTTTTTTTTTTTTTTTTTTTTTTTTTGAAAGGAAAAGGTAACAACAATAACATATTCCGATGTTATCATTGTTATCGTCACGATATATGTTCTGTCGTGCCTGTAGAAGATTATAAGAATCGGCCGATATATAATTCCCTGTGCCTCTCGTGAATCTTGCCGCACATCGAGGAGAAATCGTGAAACCTCTACATAGCATCTATTTGTGGTGAAACCATGTTCAATCGCGGCGATTTCGCATGCTGGAGCAAACCTCCGGCGTCTCTGCAGGAGATTCGCTTCCGCCATTTACATATTTGCGAGCATTCGCGCATACGAAGGGAACTCGACGACTGCAATCGCCGGATTGCAGTTCACTAATGCGAATTCTACTCGGGCGAATTCTCTATCACGTATTGCTAGAAATTTGTTTCGAACATGCTGAAATTTTTGGGTATCCCGCGAATGTAGAATAATTTCGAGCTCTTCGTGAACGCGTGCTACCATCGTGGTGCGCTTGAGAATCTATCTTCACTTTTTACCCCACGCTTGTATTTACAATTCAATTGATTCGATACATAGATAAATAGATTCGATAGATCGCATTCGATACATTGATAAAACAAATGGTTCGAGTTGTTTCTTTGAAGGGTTTACAACGGTCTCAAAAGCGATTCTACGTAATTATCGCTCTTTTTCATTTTTCTTTGTGGCATCGAGAAGGAACTTTGATGTTTTTTTTTTTTTTTTTCGATGAATGTCCCGGAAGTATCCGATTTGAGAACAATCGTAAAACTCAACTTTGGTCTCTTTCTCACGAGAACTTTAATATATTCATGTGATTACAAATATCGTCAAATCGGACAAGTCAATTCGTTTTGTACAAGTGATGAAAATTAAGCTGACTTGCAGCTTGCGATCTCGAGTGGTGACAGAATGTACGTCTTTGCCACAAAGTACGTCCCTGACCGCCCTGCTGCCGCCCCCAGGTCACCCTCGATAGACCTCCTGCCCCACGAGTGTCTTTTTTTCTACGAAGACTCGATTAACTGCATTATTTTTCGTAAATATCGCAGTTGCGTGAAAAAACGATACGTTTTTTAAAAAGATTTTTAATTGCAAGGTCAGTGCTTAAATACTGTAGTATCTTTAGATACGTGGATATGCTACGAGGAATTTGAAGAATGGCGGATAAAATTGTTAGCGAGTGTAAGAAAAGAGAGTATACTCACTCTTATGTGAGCAGACTCGTATAAAGACTTTAGAGACCGCCACTGTTCAAATTTCTCTAATTAGCCAGTGAATTGAGTGCAACGCGAGAGAAAGGAAAGTCGTTCGTTGACGTGTGTGGTTTTTCATATGCTGCTTAGTTTTCGTCGATTTGCTTTTGAATGGAGAGAGAAAGAGAGAGAGAGAGATATACAGAGAGAGCTTTTAAGCTTCTCGCGGATACAGTACGCCTTGACGATCACGCGCTAAAGTCATGCAGATGTATGTATATGCGCGAGCTATTTTCTTGCAAGTATAATACGAGACTCCTCTCTGCATAATCTGTTTACCGAAGTTGGCGTAACACTTCGGGAGCTGAGGTTGAACCCCGGCAAAGTTTCGACAAAGTTTTCACACCTAAAAGGCACTGCGATCGACATTTGTTAATTATTGTCGTTGCACCAACTTCTCGATATGGAAGAATGATTTGTTTGTGCGCAGTCGTATGTTCAGCGGAAAAGTTTCGCCGCGAGGATAATGAAAATGAGATCCAAAGTATTTGCAAGATATGTTCTTCCTTGTACGCCGAAAGTATTGAGCGACTTTAGCTTAGCGTCGTAACAAAACGTACTGCGTGTTAAATGAATTCACTTAGAGTTCACTTTCGTATAATCGTAATCATTGGAAGCGTATAATTTTGTAATTTATTAAACCGACGTACGTTACGGAATGCTCTTAAACACGGCGTGCAAAATGTAACAGCAGGCAAGTGATGCTGTTATTAACGTAGTAGCAGCAGTGAAATGTAACGCCGCAATATTTAGCGTAACCTCATTCTTAGAAATTTTATTGCTGAAAACGTGAAAACGTGAAAATAATTTAATTACACTAATTGTAAGATGTAAAAATGAATTTCATTGTTCGCGAGCAGCTTTTGCTATTCGATATTTTTAGTAGCGACCGGTGTTGCCAACGATCAAAGCGTGGATCACGTAATCGAATCAAAGAGCAATCTCGTAAACTACATAGATAGCGCACATTTTATCCGTCACTTTCACACTCAACTCCACGTGGTACCAACTCGTTGGTTCGATTTTTCGCTTTCCCACGCCTCGATCGCCACGCGTGGCACGGCGGAACTCGACCGTGTAAATAAGTGTGCTCCCAAACTCATTTGCTTGGAGTAAAAATCAGACGTACATCTGAGACCTGCTCACTAACAAGCAGAAGCGTGTAAATCTGTTTCTCATTATTACAAGTTAAAGTATACAACTAAACGATCTGGCGAAACGTACACGTCGACCAAGTATATCTTCGTTACACTTTAAACGATTGTCCAAGCACATCGAACCGTCGCAACATTTCAAGTACATGTACCCTTTTCATATCATAAATCGTTGATTAATACTGAGACTAACTGCTTATACTCTCCGGTCGAAATGCGAGAGTATCACCGCGGACTGGATCAATCCTAACGTTTCAACCAGGATTCTTTCACACAATCAACACTTTCGCGATCGTTCTCATTTTACGTCGCGAAGGCGTTAAATTGAATCCGTTCTCCTGCTTTCAAATACCAAAAATCATCAGGGCGTCCAGGAGGAACGCTTTCCTCACGCACAGGTTCCGAATATCGTTACTACGCGCAATACGTCGCCTCCGCGAAAACGGCGACGAACGTATCCCGGCCAGGCGAGGCACCTCCGAATACTGTATCCCGCACGGTCGTCGCGGTACTTGCCGACAGTTGTTCTTGACGACAATTCCGCGACATCCGGTCGACGTGTACGTCGCTTTGATGGTCGGTGGGGCAGGCGAGGTTCTCCCTAGAAAAGCAGAAAGGAAACCCGGGTGCGGCGAGCGTCCCCCTTGGCCCGTCGGGCCATCCCAAACTGTCAGACGGACGGGTCGCTGCCGGGGGCGGAGCCCGTCTTGCTGCCGTCGACGCCAACTCCGCCACCGTCGCCGTCAGCTCCCCCGCCCTCTCCGCCCCTGTACGGCGAGCCGCCGGCCCCGCGCGCCGACAGACCTCGGAAATCCAGGTTGTACTGAAAAGACGAGTACGAGGACGAAAGAGATTATTACGTGAGGTACATTAGGTACGTAATAAGATAAAGCGAGCCTCTCCAGGCTCCTTTTGCGGGCATTGTCATTTTGCGGGCAAAACGAAAGCTCGCCGAATATCTTACGAAAATCTGGCATGAGGTATGAATTCATTCATACGATTTTTCATATGATTTTTCTTCCACGAGCTTTCGCGAGATTGAAGGATAATATTATTATTTTAAAGTTTTAGCATTTGAAAGTTATTAGAGATATATATATATATGTCGAGAAGATGTCACGTGCTGTGTGACATTGTTTACGCTCTTGCCGTCATACTTGGCGAGTCTGTGATCTAGTGTATTTATTTAAGAAGGATCATATACTCCGACAAAGATAGAACCAATTAATTTTAGTCCAATGTAACATTTTATGTAATATTATTTTATTGCGTCAAACATCTTTAATTTACGTACAATAAGTTTTCTATAAAGATATGATTTCGTTTGTCAGAGTATTTGAGATTATTGGAGGAAGAAATATTAGATTTTAATTTTTCATTACGAGATACATGGTGTAGCCATTCCTGTAAAAGTAGCTGAAAATGGATTAATTCAAATAAATAATTATTGTTACATAGTCGGTGGATGGATCTGTCATGGATCGCGCTGAATATTGTTAAATCGAAGCGAAATCGATGCATTACGCGCGAGTTATATAAAAAGAAAGAAAAGAAGCTGCAAATTAAGTTGACGATCAGCTATGATAAAGTTTACGCAGAGAGACTGATAAGCCGCGAAGTCAGGAGCTAAATGAATTCGTCGTAATATCGTAAACATTTTTCAATCAAGTTCAAAGTTGAATAATTATAGAGCTACGTAATCGTGAAAAATGACCTTTCGTTTTTTGTGCATTCTGAAATTCATCGAAAAAAAAAAAAAAAGTAATTCCGTTTTATCGATGGAAATCTGTTATTGAAATTACGACGTTGGATCCTAGCATGATTGAAATCAGGTAAATCAGATAATACGAAATAAAACAAAGAAGCTGAAATGAAAACCAAGGTCGAACCTGTACGAAGAACGTGTAGTGTTCTCGACGTGTTCGTGCGTGCGCGTGAAACGACAGTGTCACGTGCCACGTGCTACGGCACGACGTATTACACAAGGCTGCTATTATCTCGGTAGCGTTGCGTGTCTTAAGTGCTGCAGTTGTGCATGGTGCAGCTGCAGCTGGAGGAGCTGCAGATTCTGTAGGCAGTAGGGTGGCTGCTGCGTTCCGGGCGTCGTATACGGTAAGACGGACGAATGCACGAAGGAGCCAGAGTTCCGGGACAGCCCGACATTGGGATGTCCCGGGCTGTAATTGAAGGGGAGTAGGGATAGGCTCAGGCTAGGGGGTGGTTTTAGGATATTGTGAAATTGCGCGGACGTGAGTGGATGGGGTTGCACGTAAGGGCTCGTGGAGGGTAACAATTGCGGGCTAATCGGATACAAACAATCCTCTTCGGCCTGGCCGGGCACCGTCGTCGGGCTGAGCTCCATGTATTGCGGCATGATGAGATTGTGCTGGGTATTGAATAGAATGGAAGGAGATAGACGTACACTCGATTTCTTTTTCACCTGAACGCGTGTCTCTGTGGCTCTTCGATTCTCTGGTATCTGTGCGAATACTTGAAACGATCTCACAATATGAAAACGCCAGATTATTTGTAACATTAATTTAATGGTTAAAGTAACGATCGATATTTTATGCCGATAGCAATTAATATTTCGATACAACAAATATTCACACAGATCAATACATTCTGAAGAGAATTTCACAATCTCTTAATTCATGTGTTTATAAATAATTTTCAATGTCATTTTTCATAATTCCAGTTCTATATTATTGTTTTATATAAAAGGCTAAAGTTACCTGTAAAATATAAAATTTGCTGAAGTTTTAATGTCAGCAAGAAACATGGGTAAGATATTATGAATAAAATATACTTTCTTCTTTTTCTCTTATATCGTATACAGACTCCAATACAGGTAACCTCAGTCATAAAATTAATTCGAGCGAAAACATGTCTTCGGTCATTCAAAAAGTAGATAGATTGGGTATATGAAGTATATTCTTAAGGCTCACCTTTGTGGCGCAGACGAAACACGTTGTGACCACCTTCGAGATCACATTCATGAGATTTTTCGTTTCTTGTATGACATTGTCGACTTTTGTAAAAGTGGCGGCTTTGCCGACGGTAGGATTCTTCACGGTGAATTGCAGTTGTTGAACGTAAGTTGGTACTCTATCCAAATTTTCCAAGAGATCTTTCTTGTGTGGTCCACCTGGTACCTGCACCCATGTAACATCGTATACAAACTTATGTTTTCGTTCGTATCGCAAAATAAACTTGTTCATATTTAATTTTCAACGATCCAATAATAGATAAAAGTATTTAATATATAGCATTTAATTATTGATAATGTGTATATATATATATATCAAAATAAAATTATTTCGAATTAAAATTTTATAGTATTTATTTTCAATATGTTATATGTCTCTAAGAATTTTATTTTATTTTTTAATAATAATTTTCATATTATATATATATAAGACATTTAAATACATATAAGTTTAAACAAATAATTTACAGCATATGCTATTATATTTTCTCTCTGGATTCACGTGATCATAAAATAAATGTAAATATAGATAATATATAGTATAGATTAACAATCGTTGAAAATTTTTGAACGTATTTATCTTGCGATATTACTTCTGTATATATATTTAGCATTTCTTAAAGATTCTGTAAAGCAAGATGCTTGATTCTATTGTTGTGATAGTTTATTAAATGACTAATAATAAATACTTTGTAATACGTATCGTAGATACTTAGAAGTTTACATCTAAGAAGTTAACAGAAAGATCGTCTATCTGTCCTAGGAAAACACAATGCAAAACTTTCAACGGCACGTAAAAGATTTCTTGATACAGATATTAACTGTGTGAAGTGGCAGTGAAATAGTACAGACCTTATTATTTTGCAAGCTTACTTCATAAATTTTATTTTTTCGAGACAATATTAATTATCAAATGTTAATGAATTAGTTACCAAAGAATTAATGATCAAATGTTTTCGAGAAAAAACAGAAAAATTTTTCAGATTTTAACTTTTTTAAAGATTTAATATCTGAAATATTTAATTATGTAGATATTTATTGATGAATATTGTTTGATACTCGGTTTGATAAAACATACGATGAAGGAAGCTAGCAAAAATTGTGAGACATAATACTCATGCCCCAGATAGTGGAAGGAGAGGGACCACAATGCACATAGACGTCGTCCATAGACGGAAGCATTCCCGTAGCATCTAAAACACACCTTACTAATCGTACAAAAAAAGTTGTAAATGTATGTACATAAAATAGATTTACTAACAAAATCATAAACGTTCATTATGACAATTTAAATGACATGATATACGCGAAAATTGCTCCAACAATTCGAATCTTATTTAAATCGTACACTGACAATTATAATACAAATAAAAAATTTAGAGTTTGAATTTTGGAATGTAAATTATACTTATAAGTACTTGAGTCTCATATGAGTATAATGAATCATCACGTCAGTTTTTTTGCGATGACTTGAAAAATAGTTCTTTCTTCAATTCTAACATCTTTATATCTCCAACATCTTTATATTTGCTTATATTTTATATAAAACAATTTTCTATGCTATTCGTAATGATCAATAAGAAAATCTACGTGCGTGATGTTGCATAACAATACAAACATAGTATATACAAATGTAATGACAACACCCAACAATAGTAGAACATTGACGCTGCAGAGAAAGTAAACGCCATATATACATATAAATATATATATATATATATTAGGTGTTGGAATTAATTCGTAGCGTTTTTTAATGAAAGAATGTTATTTATTTCACATGAGCATTAAAAAATACATTAATGAAAGTACTTCCCATCACTTGTAAAACGCTACGAATTAATTCCAACACCTAATATATATATATATATATATATATATATTAGGTGTTGGAATTAATTCGTAGCGTTTTTTAATGAAAGAATGTTATTTATTTCACATGAGCATTAAAAAATACATTAATGAAAGTACTTCCCATCACTTGTAAAACGCTACGAATTAATTCCAACACCTAATATATATATATATATATATATATATGGCAACGAGAATGATTTGTTAGGGCGAAAATGATATCTATTAGTTCAAAAGGGTCTAAAGTAAAGAGAGAAAAAGTTACCTGGATGGAGGCATTCAAGAGCGAGGGTATAAAAAGGATTGTATATAATACAGAATATATTACAAGGTTAGCGTCTTGTTGTTTCTCTTAAGAAGAGTATAAAGAGAGACCAAAGTGGTTTCAGGTGACTATATATTCGGCCTAGCTAGGAGGGGTTCGAAAGAGGGTAGCAAACGTGTTAATTCGAACATGTCTAATGCTAATAACGCATGTCGAAGCTACTTCTGGTCTGGAAGCTACATTTATAGTAGCATAAAGTAAAATAATAACAAGGTAGTAAGCTAGCGCTTTCAATTAATATTTTCTATTTTTACACTTATTAAAAGTTAAATTATTTATTCTAATTTTTTAATTTTTATCATCTATCTACTGAAAAAAATTACGAAATATTATTGATTTCTTTTTTAAGCAATCGTCTCTTGAAACAATCAGAAATTAAGCTTTGTAATAAAATTCAACTGAAATCAAGTATACAGGGTGAGTAAAAAGTCTCTGACCGATGAAATATCTCGAAAATTAAGCATTTTCGAAAGAAATGTTTCGAAAGAAACAAAAGTTGTAGGGTTTTAAATGATTCACTGATCTAATCAGCCTGACCTTGAGTGGCGTCGCCAAGGTCAGGTCAAAGTTACATCGATTTTTTTTAATGGCACATCCTATTTTTGATTCCAGAATCGAATAGCTGATGTTAAGAACTTTTCAAAACACTACAAGGTCAGATTGATTAGGTTAGTGGATAGATCATTTAAAATCCTACAACTTTTGTAGGAAACATTTCTTTCGGAAATGCTTAGTTTTGAGATATTTCACTGGTCCGGGACTTTTTGCATATCCTATATTTTAATATATCAACAAATATCTACTTAGAAGGTATTATGATATGAAAGATATGCGAATATTTCTACATTTCTACATATGATGAAATTTCTCTTATTGAACGTTAAAGTAGCAATAATTATTGTTAGCATCTACCATTAAATATTTATAAAAATATTAGCATGAATTACGATATAAGTATTTTCGATGCAGACTTGATGCAGCTTCGACGTTGCGACTTACGAAGAAACGAAAACTCAATAGCGAATGTATAAGTGAAAAGATTTCCAATATAGCGAGGATCAAGAAACGCGGAATCAAGTCCAATATAGAGTCCGTATAATAAACAATGGTAAAAGAATGATTATAGAAGTAAGGATGATATATAGATATATCAACATCAGTCCAATTAAAAAAACGTGTGTCATCTCTCTTTCGATCTACATCGGCGTATTAGCCGGCCGCTACGTACCTGGTAACTGAATTGTCTCACAACCTTGTACAATCTGTTTGCCTCTTCGGCGAAATACTCAGCTTGGGTGAATAGGTCCTGGGTGGTCTTCAGGGCGCCTTCGCCTCGCGTGAATTGGTACATCGAGAATGCCATCGACGACATATTCTTCGCTCGTTTTACGATGTCGTTGTTCTCTTCTAGAGCGCTTCCGCTCTCCTGCCACTTTTCCGTCTCGGCATCCATCTCCGAGGTTATCAATTTCATCTCGAGTCCTGCCTTAGCGATCTTTGCCTGCTCCTCGCTGTCCAACCGTACTGGTTTTAACGGTTTGCTCGTCGTACCATGTTTCTAAAATAAAGCGTATATCATTTATTTATTTCATTATATCTAATGAGAAACAAATCAAGTAGAGAATTTTTCTTGATTTTTTAAAAAATTTATACGTATGATATAGAATGTATCGAGAGATCGATTTATTGAGATGATTATGCGTACCCCTGGCCGCGGTAAAGACATGTAAACCTGCTTCTCTGGCCGGTTTTGACTGAGTTCCAAAACATCTTTCGCTACTGTCGTCACATCAGTCATGAGCCACTGCCACATGTCAGCAAATACTGTGAAATATTACAAAAACGTTAAATGATTAGCAATCATTATTGCAAATTTAGTGGGTTATTAAAGCGTTTATATGACTTACCTTCGAGATTTTCCTTGGCTATTTTACTGGTGGGATGCCTGGCTAACGTATGCGCGGCCGTTACGACTTGAGGACCATATATTCTTAAGTTGATCTCCGTGAACTTGGCCGACACTTGCAACGATTCCGAAAGCGCAACGTGTCTTAGAAGTTTGCATACCTAGAAGGAAGAATAATATGTAGTAATTCCAACTATTCCAAGAAGAATAAAAACTTTTATTTGAAGACTATATATTGATAAAGAAATAACCGTGTATTCCAATTTTTATGTGCATTATATTGGTAAATCACTTCAAAATCACAGAGATTTATCGTTAACGTCAGATATGAATAATGAACTATGTGGTCTAAATTCACTTAAAGTTAGACGTGAAAATAAATTCAATTAAGTGCTGCAACTGATTGCAATCTAGAAATGATGAATGTAATCATTGCATACTATATTTAATAAATCAATATGTCTAGAGCCAACTCAATGCAAAATTAAGGCATGCGCATTTTTGCTGTGAGAGATGTAAGTCGATTTCGTAATTCGATAATATTCTTCGAAAAGAACTCTGATTATTCGTGGACTTTGAACTTAGAATGCACGTGCACGCGAACGCGGATACGCGGTGCGTGGGCCACGTCTGGGAGCTTACTTCGAGAATGTGTTCGATATACTCGTGGAACCTGTCGCTGCTCTCTTGTAGACGGTCGATGTCATTGGCCAACGCGAGATTTCTGATCGTTGACACGAGTTCCTGACCGGCTTTTGTCACTTGGCCAAGATCGCCGGCCTGTTCCATCGTCGTCGCGCTGAGTTGCTGGCGAAGGTCTCTAGTCGCCCGTAACACACCCATCACCGCTTGTTCCATTTCCGAGCTGGGTGAACCCCCGCCGCCCTCGTAATTCTGATGGAACACGATATTCATCATTTCATACTTTATCATGTTTGATTTATTGGGAAATATTTTTTATTATCGGATTATATTATTCGAAACATATTTGGTCATTTTTCATCAGATAGAATTTATTGCAAGCTAATTTGTTTTTAGTAAGCTAGTTTTAATATTATCGTTATAGCGCACCAACAACCGCGTAGGCTCTTAATTAGATTTTTTTATCCCTTTTAGATGATTTAAATATTATGTTATTATTTTCACTTTACAAGTCTTATCACAATCAATAGTACTAAGATTTTTCGCGCATTCTTACACGATATTATTAAGTATTATTAAATATTATTAAATATTTAGTCGCGCTTGTAAGATAGAGTAAACTTTATTGACTCACCATACTATTGCCGATCCGTAAGAGTGTATTGAGCTCGAGTTTCGCGCGATCACAAAGCAGAAGAATATTTTCTCTGTGCTCGTGACTCGTATAAGCGCTGTCGGTGAAGTCTTGTGTCCTCTCGACCACTGTTTCAAGCGCTGATGTAAGTGTTTCGCGACAACCCGGTCCTAGCAGGGTCATCCTCGTTGTTTCGACGAGCCTTTCGAAGTGTTTCAAAGCTGAGCAAACGGTACTGCTATCCCAGTCTTCCTGCTGCGGACTCTGCAAGCAATGGCAGTTGTTGAAGAAATATTTTTCTTAAAAAAATGTAGCAGATACCTTTCTCTAAACATCTTAATTATTTAAATATTTTAAAATAATTACATATATAACGAGTCTAGATTCTTTCGTACACTCATATTTTATAATGTTGGAAAACACTTATACTCCGACGAATATTAGACACGACACAAATAATATTAAATCTTTTAGAGATGTCACGTTTGGGAGCGCCATCCCACTTGGCCAGGTTGTCTACAATCACTTCAAAATCGATTATGTCGCATGGAAAGTGGATAGTACTTGAGTGTAAAATGTAAGGATATATTTTTGTACGGGTAAAGGCTGTTCAGCGTGACCCAATGGTATCTCTCGCGTTGTTTCTTCAAAGACTCGAGAGATTTTCGGAAGTGTCGGTAATACGTGAAATATTTCCCCTCATTTATTTCATGCTGAAAGAAATCTGGTACGGAATGAAAGCATCGCGCGTCGAAGTACCGATATATAAATGCTGGTATACAATTTGGCATGATGCAAATAACCATTCATATTCTTTATAATGATCGTGTTATTTATGATGCAACAATTTTTTTCCTGCAATGAAAACTTTTCATCATTGCTTTTTGGATAACCGTTGAATAGACTTTTTATGCAACCACAAAATTTTGCCAGCAATGCCACAATTTAATTTCTTATATCCAATTTTTAATAGATGTTTAATTTTAACATAAAATTTGCATGAGATGATTTATGATTTACACACTCTATGTACGAGTATGTAATAACTTCGGCATTAAATAATCCATTTTAATTCCATGAGTGGAATTTTTTTATCGCATATTTTGCTTCCAATTTCTCGTTATATAGGTTTTTTCCACTAGTTTTGCACTATTAATTTTTTTCATTATATATATAAATGCAAATAATAAATATATTAAAATGTATTTAATACGGAAGATTACTTAAAAATATTTAAATAATCCTCCATATTAACAATATATAAATTATTAGCGATCACGAATTTATTAAAGCCGAAATAATCATGAGTAATCGATTGTGTGGATGGTATGCAATCGTAATCCATTGATATTTGTAGGACATATTCCATTGATTCTCCTATATACCATCTTCAACCACGGCTTATCGATTTCACCAGGTCATACGTGCTGTTATATTTATGGGTTTCTCGAGTACTAAGATTATTTCGATATCTCGTTTACAACTTCTGTTACGGCAATGGATCGCGGCTCAAGGTCATTTAAATTGCATATTAGGATTTGTAAATCACAATTTGGCGGGCAAAGGCTCTTTGGAACGTTTCCAAGACTTTCGGAAACATTTTATCATGTATTGCTCTTTTAATCCTTACAATATGGATATGTATTCTCGCTGTAGCATAATAATGAGAGGCGCATGCTTATTTGACAACTGCGATTATTATAATGTTTCTTGACAAGCTTTAACGCGAAAATATTTGTATCGATAATTATTTTCTCATTATTCAAACAACATGTATGTTTAAAAGACGTCATGAAGATCTCTTTTGGAATATATGTATAATACATGTCAAAGATATTTAAAAGATATCATAAGGACATCTTGTAGACATTGCATGTTGTCTGGGTATTTTTATATTAACTTTTAAATAGTTCGCTATTTTGTTCCGCAGATTAATAGCTCGTGAATAGATAAATATTGAAAAAACTATTATTGTATAATTTCACAATTTGATTATTCTTTTAGCTTTATTAAATTAATTTTAACGATGTTGAGTGGTAAATGTTTTCATCATTTATGAACGTTTATAAAGTATTCTTGAAATAGACAGCTTACCTGTGAATTCGAGTAGGATTGAGATTCGCTACAGTCTAATACTCCGTCCTTGACAACGTAATGTATCAGATCCATCGCTCTTCTCATTTGGCAAAAAACGGTGTCTCTGTTCTCCTTAGCGGATGGACACTCGGGGTGCCTTAGACATGTCTTGCTGGACGTGAGTAGCATCATGGTGCTTCTCTCTAATACTTGTCGGGCCGCTGCCATTTGCGCGCGTCGCCTCTCGTCTTTGAGATCATTCTGAAAATAAAGTGTAAAAAGTTTAATTGAGTCACGGTAATACTAATGAAAATTAATATAAAATTCATGAATGAAATATTGATTTGCAAGAAATAAATCTCACCTGACGATCACCCGTTAAATGTGCCAACTCGACCATCTCTCCTCCAAATTGGCTAAACGCCTTGACGAATTCTGTGAAATTCGAGACACTTTCGAGACGCCCGAGACTGCGGGCGACCTTATCCTTGGCATGAAGCAATTGATTGACCACGACGATGTCTGCCAGGAGGAGGACTTTTGTCACTGAGCCTAGGAGACATCTGGCAGCTCTTACGACGGAACCTCGGTCAGCCAAGCTGTCTTCCAAGGCACATTCGCATAATTTCTCGATTGCTGAGCCTAAATGTAACATAATCGGATTGTATTGTCTAATTTTATAACGTATGCATATCTGTAGAAGTTAAAATATGTGTAAAGTAATAGTTCTTTCTACTTATTCCACTGTAAGATTTAATTCTTGAAAGAGAGATCGATCGAATTTTGAGCGAGTGTGACGGACAAGGAATACTAATGAATTAAACATCTCGCCTTTTTATCGTGTGTCACCGTAAAATCGGAGTAATCTGATTTAATTATGACCGAGCTCCTTGACTTAAGTACGACGGCTACGAGTAATTGGATGCTCTCGAACGATCATAATTAATTATACTTCGCACATTCGCTATCTTATCTAAATTAAAAAATGTCAATACTTAATTAAGCTTATCGTTAAGAAATTATAGTAAAATTTAAGCAAATAGCAGCATTGTGTATTTACATTTCTAAACGTATTGAAATGGAAACGTTAACTAATTCTTATTCCCTTTTATTTGAAATTTATTAACTATGATTTTAAAGCCAATATTTTTTTAAACAAGTCTATAATATCCAACATTAGAGAGTCATATAATAGAATGAAATTAATAAGAGTAATTAACATTAATTGGTATATACAATTTATTGATAGTGATGACAAAAAATTGTTCTTAGCTCTTCCTAGCAATATAATATTGACAGAAATCAGCACAAAAATCTACATTAAAGAGCTTTTTGTAAGTTGCATTTGTGCATAACGTTTTCTAATAATATCGTTATCGATTGGAAACTCTTCGAGTATGAGACATGAGAGGTGTTCTGTATTATTAAATAATTATTTTCGGAATTAGAAAGCCGTAATTAACGCGAAACACAATATTGCCGCTGGCTATTATCATCTATTATCATTAATTGTTCATCGCCATTAGGAACTCACGATGTCCTAAAGGAAAACTATTACAGGGAGAATCGATGAGAGAACAATTGATTATAATCAGTTCTATTTGTTCCTTTATATTGAATAATTATGAGAAAACGCCTAATTGTGGGCGTTTAATGGAATAAATTTATGTATGTCTACAAATCCTCTTTAACAATGTTCTATTGTGTCGCATATCTATGTAAATAAATTTTATTCATTAATTTACTCTTCTGAATAGTTTCTTCATCAACTCAATATTTATAAGCTATTTTCTATAGGCCACTGCGCATTACTTTTATTCAGTAGAACTTGTTCATCGTTTTACTTGATGGATACTTTTCTCATTAGAGAATTTTCTCTAATGAGAAAAGCACTGTTTCATTCTTCTTCGTTTCAACAGTGTGTTGCAAACTTCAAAATTAATTATTGTATATACTATATGTATATATATATATATAATTTATAAATATTTGCTGTATAAGCTATCACGAGACATTGCTAAAGAATATGTAAGACATCCGTAATTGAATACTTAACGCAACGATTAAAGATATGGCAATATTCTTTTTTTGTGTTACCGCGCCCAGTATTCTCTTAAAGGGCAAATCGCTTATATCCTTTTATCGAACTGATTAGTAAAGTGATGCCAGCATTGTAAGATTAGTCGGTTCGATATGGAATCCTTATAGCGTTTTATATAGACTAACTGTTACGTAAGAGAACTTGACCTAATTTAAAAATCGAAGTGCACTGATTTCATATCATTTCGTATATACATATTTAGTTATTATTCCGATAATCGAGGATCGGTTTTTTTCATGTTTTATTAGAATAATTATGAGCCATAAGCTTTGTAAAGTCTATATTTATTTTATAAATTTTATTGTCTATATTTCACAAATCACGAAAGAAACATATCAATGAATAAGAACTATTTCTTTTTTTTTGAATCTAGCATTTTATTTACGTAATTAACGCTGCTAATATTTACTACGTAATTAACGCTGGATGCAATATATAAACAAACTATTTTATTAATAAAAGTGTCTGCCTAATTTCGGTCTTTACGGTGAGAGTTTTTGAGCGTAAGGAAGCAAATAGAGCACATCTCATGTACCTCATATCTCGATATTGATGGACGCATCGGATGGATTGCAATTGGAGAGATTGCTCGGATGTGACGCGTACAGCATGTTCTAGGAGTGTGCTTTTCGTGATTCACAGGACAAAAATACATCGAGCTGATAAGCACATCAAACTTGAGATTGACATTTACGTTTTTATTTCTTGTTCAGCGGAAAGTACTGTTTTTTTTTTGTTCCACGTTATTATTAATTGAACCATTTTATATACAAGATTAATTTATCACGTAGATGTGAGGAAATCAAATCATTGTTATGAAATATGATTTGTGAATTTTGAACAAACTGAAGTTTTCCAAGATGCGTATCAATCGCTTAATTGCTATCCTTGTAACTTTCTGCTGGCACGCGATAATATTGAAAGAACAATTATACGCGTTGCTTTAACTCGCGTGATTAGGAAAACTGTAGTCATAAACGAATAATTTACATTGATGATAGAGCGTTATCAATGCTATGATTTATTCTTGGATTTGACTGGATATCCATGTCGATTGGTATTTCTTCTTAGCATAGCAATCTTGCAGTAATTAACCAAGTAAAATACAAATTTAAAGAAAATAAATGATTTTTATCTGTTCACAAACGGGCTTTCTCTCACGAAGTAGTGAAAAAGTTTTTATATTGACATAATTGATATTATTACTTTAAATTTTAAATATTATTTATTTGGAATGTTTTTTGGTAAAAAATTTCTGGAAGGGAGGAAAAGGATGAAGGATAGGAACATAATAGCCAGGTACAGATGTGGGAATGAAACAAGAGGGGATCAGTATTGGAGAGAGGAAGAGGATAGGAGGTGCAGAATATGCCAGGTTATAGAGGAGAGTACGTGTCATGTGTTAACGGAGTGTGAACAGACAAAGAATGGAATGCAGATGGGAAAATTTTTAGGAGAAGAGGGCAAAGGACTGGAAATAATGAAGATGATAGAAAAGGTGAGAAAAGAAGTAGAAAAGAGGGAAATAGCAAAGACGAAAGAGGACTTTAACTAGACGGACAGGATGTATAGTACTATATAAATCCTAAGCGATGTATTTTATGAGGATGGACGTAAGATACCAAGGATACAAATAGCCACGTTTGGATATTGTTGTTCATTTAGATGTATATATAAGTTATATGTAAGTTCGGATATTGTTGCCAATTCAGATATATATAAGTTGGACTTTGTTGTTAATGTTAATTTTATTTGAGTTAATATACTGAGTGACTTTGCTGACTTTGCTGACGTCTTAATAGAATAAGATAATATAGGAAGAGTAATACAGGAAGTAAAATTGGAAGTGTAATCAATGTTATTATGTTAAAATGTGTGCTAAAATGTGCGTTAAAATACATAACAAGATATATTTATTGTAAAGAAATTATGTAGACCGGAAATCATTAGGCAAGGATTAATAAATACAATACAATATTTTTTGGTAAAATTGCATATTTTCAAAATATGTCAACAATATTTGTCTATTAAGATTAAAATGAATTATCGTGTATAATGTGGATTTGTAATTGTGCAAGCGACATGAATGGTTGCGTTTATCAGAGGATACCATTAAACTGTGGGAGTAAATAGCTCGGAACGGCGTTTTATGATAACCATGATAACGTGAGCGATCAATGACGATGAATGTGACTAATGAATCACTAACTTTACTCGTTAGCGAAACATTTATCCGCGCTTATATCAGTCTGCGTTAAATTGTTCCAATATTTATATTATGCTTCTTCGTTAATAGTGTTTCACTCTACAGATCTTAGATATACAATGCGACTTTCGTTTGTACGGCTTTTTGCAAGTTTGCATAGTATAATCCAATTTATTATTTCTTTCATCGATTTTTACGATAGCCTTATCTGAACGGGCCTTTTTACCGTTCACTACTAAAATACGCCGAGTGAATTTATATCGCGTTTTTCCCAAGTGACACGTCATGATAAAAATCGCTCTCTTGTGCCCGTATACGCTGCAAGCTGAAAACTTTTTGTCATTCGGTTAGTTCCGTCATAAAAATGGATTTATTACCATTACGTCTGGGAAATGTTGGCATATTTGTGTGAAGAAAATCGCGGTAAAATCGTTAGCATTTGATTTCAATGATTGTGTATTAAATTGATCAATTTGTCGAGGTTATTAATCTGTTTACACAAGCAAATTAACTGGATACTTTGATAGAGAACTGCATATAAACTCTCTAATATCTATATTAATTTTGTATATGCATGTTTTATCGAAATATTAAATACAAATGTTTTACGTACAAGTTTAAGCTTATATACTTTTTTTGGTTCTAATAATAGTAATTAAAATAAATGTTTTGTTCATTAAATTGATTTGAACATAAAAGATTATCAAGATATAAATTTAATATTAATAATATTTATGCGAAGATACAATGAAAGCGATTATTATTTCACGTCAATTGACATAATCGCGAACGAATGAAATTAAAATTACGAAATTCACAGCGTGTGATTAACAGCATCGCGATGACGATTTCCTTCGATTTCATCCGTTCGATATTTCAGTTCTCGGACAATTTATTTTTGCTCCGCGCATCGCGATATTTCCAGCCTTTATTTGCATATAACTGCATTTTATTGTCAATTATCACGAATTCGATCTCTGCTTTTGCATTTGTTTTTCATACATGATGATTCCGAGTGATCATCAGTGACTATTTCGTTGCAACAGAGTGTCAATATGGCACAGAAGAGCTAATGAATAACTAAATGAAAGCACTCTACGTACTCTCCGTTTAATATTACGTACTACATATTAATATACTATGAAATGTGTCTTTATAATCTTTTAATTATCACTTGATTTGAAATGGATGTCGGACCAAATGTCTACGCATCCATCAACTTGCTCGAATGCACTCGCAGTTGGCAGTGACTGTAGGTTGTTTGTATTTGTGATTAGATGCGATTAGGTGCGACTATTCCTCAGCGTTGCTTTGTGCTTACCGTATGCTGTTTCTCTCCAGATATATAAATTTGGCATGTTGCCATTTATCTTTTACGGTAGTCGCTTTTCCTTATAGTAATGCGCTTGTTCTCTCTGTCACCGCTGCTCTGGTGCGCGAGTTTAAATTCCACCGAGCTTCGAAAATAGCGTTATCTTGAGAAAGGGAGCGTCTATAACTAAGCGTTTAAGCATTCCGTACAATGTTACGAATCTTCCATTCGATTTTGATATGCACGTCGAAAACGTGTGCGACCTATTACGTATAATTGCTATTTAAAATTCTCTCGCGAATTCTACTCTGCAATTCTACTGTATTTCACAAAGATTTTTGGTTTTCTATTTTAAGAAATGATGATTTTCGTGATAATAATAGTTCAACCTCATACGTACGAAGAGTGATTTCTATGCAGAAATCACCGATGCCGACGGTTTATACAAATTCGTCGCGTGTTGTGTCATAGTGAATCCCACAAGCACGATATAGCGTTCGCAATTCCACAGTTAGTTACACTTACCGATTTACACGCGATACCACGCGAAACGATTTGTTCAAGCCAGCAGGTAGTAAGCTTGCATGTCTCTGCACGATTGTTGTAATATCGGTGCTCTTTCGACGTTATTTCATTACTTCAAATTGATACGTCTCGTGCTTCGATAAGCAATCCCACGTATAGCAATCGAATTTTATTATCTTATCTATTATCTAGAATTTTCATCGATTTATTCTAAATTCGTGGAGCGCGCTGTTTCTGATTGTACATAATCCTGTTTTGACCTCAGTGTTGTGACGAAAGCTCGTCGGTTTATTATTTATCGCCGTTTTTCCTTAAGCGCAAGATCGATGACAACGAAAAGAATAACTGATATAATAATAGTATTTCTTAAATATATAAGCGATGCTACAATCTTTAAAATTCATTCTGGTATAAGTGTAGTATATTTCATTTCTATTATACAATATATATATATATATACCCTTATATTATTTTATTACATCCTTTATTCTCGAATTATAGAGTATTCTTTAATTCAAACCTATGTTGAATAGGTATCTCGCTACGAAAGCTTTCTTCAAGATCTTTAATTTTGTGGTGTGAGACTTTTCGACGTTGAAGACCACCGAGACCGTCTCTTTCCTCTGCGGCACAATTCTCCTCGAAGAGCGAACAGGTGTGCTGGAAAGAAATATCCCTTACTTCGACCATTACTTCTCCGCTATTTGGCAAAGATACGTCGAGGCTCTTCTTGTATGTAGGTGACGAAAAACCTTTCAAGGTTTGGTGAAACTGGGTCATCGCGCGCGCTGTTTCCACATGGTAGCAGCAGTCGTTCTGCAATGTGCAGCTTAGCGTGAAGATACGAGAAGATGTAATCTGCCGACGATAAGACTTCAAAGAGTGACGTTCAAAGGTTACGAGCCTTATCCTTGCGTGTATGAAGCTCTTTTCCGGTTTGCGTGCTCTTAGAGGTTGTCCGCGCAAGGTTGCGTATGAGAGATGCAATTTGTATCTTTTCGATGTTTGATGTTACCATTTGAATCTGAAGATGTTTCCTTATGCGTTATAGTCTAGAGAGAAATCTGCTCTTACATGAATGAAAATGTTGGATAGTTTTGTGAAATATTTTAACCTATATATAATGTTCATTTATGCATATGCATTTTATCTTTCTTTGTCCCTTTTCTCTTCTTAAAAGATGAAGAGACTATAAGATACTAACTTATATGCTAAAAAGAATATTAGTCGTTCCGTAATGCAAATCGTAAAATCACGTTGGAGTATAATTCGCGATGCATCCTCTTAAATCTTTACGCGAATCAAATTTTTGTGATCTATTTGACGAAGATTTTGAACTTTATGACTCAGAAGTAATGCCGAATTAAAAAATGAGAAAGAGTTGTATATTTTACTTTATTGCTTTTTATGTTCTTATAAATAACGTATAATACGAATTTCATATTTATGAACGGCTTCCGATTGCGAATTTATCTAAAGTAACATAATTATAATATTTTAAATATTGGGATTGTGAAATATCTACTGCTTGAGATAATGTTATTTGCTCGGTTATTTGAAAAAGAAATTCGTGTAAGTACTTATAATACAATTTCTTCTTGAGAAGAAGATAATCTCAAAGGAATACAAAGTTTTCAATAAAATATAAACTGAATGAAAGTATTAAAGTACTTCAAATTATATCTATAATTGTAAAATTTGTTATCAAGATAGAAATTTCGTAACAATATTGTTTACTATCTTTACCCTATTTTTATTTGTATCAACTGTGTGTGTGTGTGTATTAGATTTAAAAGAGAATAACATAAAAAATTTTATGTTATATATTTAAACAAGATTAACATTTTAATTCTAATAAGCGTTATCTTTTGCATACTTCTTTGAATACTATATGATTGTAGCAAAATATATTGTTCGCAAAATATGAACTTTCTTTTCTTATTCTCTAAATTTCTTGAGAGTAATAATATTGGACAATGAAAAATTTTGCAAATTAATGCAAATCTCTACATTGTATTGCTCTTCTGCTAGATAATACACCATTCTAAAGTTATTCACATAATCTCCAACAGATGCATGATGTTGGCGTGCAAAATACGCCAAGTTTTAATGCGAATTAATGTAATATGCAATTGGATATGTTTATATTGTCCTAACTTTTGATTAATGTACTATCGTAATATTCGTGAGAATATTTGTATTAAATTTGCGCTTATACCATCCGTTCTATGAAATTCATTCATTCGTTCTGTGAAACTCACAGTGATGCTTTTCTTTATTTCGAATGAGAAGTATTGACGTTGTTGCAACAATTATATTTTTTCTATATGAAAATCTTTCGACACGCATACATAAAATCTGTATAAATAATTTCAATAATAATGCAACTTGTAATTTGAATATTACATAATGACTTCAAAACTTTGTTATTTAATAATAATTGAATACATAAAAACACAACAGTCTTGCTAATTTAGATTATGGAAGGAACTCTAACGATTTACAGATAGATTGAGTTTTAATTTTTGTTAGAAGCTAAATTATATAAAGATATTCTAGTTATTTTATTTTACTCGTACATCTATTTACATTACCATCAATTTTGTACGTATTGTCACAAATGTTGTTACACTTACCTGCAACCCTCGCCTCTTTGCACGCCTCGTACATGTCTTGTTTGATCTCCGGGTTGTCGTCCGCGATAGTTTCGCCGACGGTCACGAATCTCTCGACCGCCAAATTTACCGCCTGGCCGACCCTGGCAACCGCTCGCAAACTCCGGTCCGAGCATAGTGGTCGTTCTCTATGTGAGATTAACGTAGAAATCTGTAAAGATATTGCATTTTGATGAGTGCACAACATTTAGTCGGAAAGATCTATATGAAATTTCATTTTAGAATTTTGATATAATTGACAAAGAGAATTTTGGTTTTAGACTTGTATTTATTAAATATTATTGTTGTAATGAATATCATGATTATTATACATACAAGTCTATTATACATATACATATAATTTATTACTTCGAAATATTTAATATTTTATAAAATAAAATTATATCGTATTTATGAATAAAAATGAAATTTTCACGTAAGTGATATCGATACATTTTTACTGGAAAACTCAATTGAAATCAGACACGATACGATTTTATAAACAGATTTTGAGAGTTAATTAGATATTTGTGTTATGTTTATTTTAATTAAAGTTTAATTGAGAAACTTAATTAAAATTTATTTTAAGACGTAATCTAAGTTCCGATATTTTCGATATTTTGATATTATTTGTGGATTTTGGTTCCTCTTAGTGCTTATTGCATTTCGACAGCAGGATTTAGCTCAAGCAAAAAAACGTCAACGAACACACTTTGATGAGCATTTGATGAACATAGATAATGCCGTAAATTGAAATAATCGAAATTTATATTGAATAAAATTAAATATCTTTCATTTTTTACCAACGCCTTAAAGAAAAAATCTGTCTCTACATATGCAAATGTTTAATCGTGATTATTTGTTCTTGCTAGTTGGACTTAAATGATGACATTCAGAAATGTGTTATATCTATCAAGTCAAGACACAAATAAACACAGGTCGTGCGTTAGTACAATGATTATCACTTCGAAATTTTTAATAATCACCTTTTAGTTAGTCACTTATCACGATCGCGTTCTAATTATAGATAATGCAATGCAGTGGCTTACAGGGTCGCTTCTTAGGTCAATTTATTAGGTCGAGTTTTGGTACACGAATGGTAACATAGCGATTTTTTTATAAAAAATAGAATACTATACGTAATAATAGATATCAAAGTCTCATAATAATTCGAATTGTTATCATTACGAATGTATTTGTTATTTTGACATACAACACGCGTAATATTTATGTGAGATCGCCATCGAGACAGATGAGCCATCCTGTATGTCATTTATTTTAACATGATCGCGACAAGTGTTATAAGAAATTAAAATTCATATTCATTAAAATATTTATAAACGGGTCAAGAATATAATAAAGTAAAACCGAGTAAATTAGTGGATAATTATTATGCGTCAACATATTATGCGTCATCATCTTTCAGAATACTCGTTCGTTATATTATCTTTCTAAAAGATAAATCCCGCATAGAATACAAAAACGGTCAAGTATTCGTAGACAATTGTATCTACAGACTAGTACAGCTTGCTACTGACTCCCTTATTTTAATTAACGTCGTCCTCTTGTCTAATCCAGGGCGATTTCAAAATAACCAGCACGTTCGTCCGCATATTCTGCATTTGTTTCAGTTGTATATGACTAGCGACCATGATATACCATAAACGTGCTGCTTGCGTTGTGCGTGGAATTACGGCGGAGAGTCCGTGGTAGCTTGTTAAAATTACTACGTAACGCGCTCCGAGCATTCGCAAATCGTAGCGGCTACACTGCATTTTCCACACAATTAGACGATGCATTTGTTCGTCGTTCCTTTCAGAGATGTCTGCCTCAGTCGAAGGAGGGAAAAGGAATACGGGCTGTGACGTGGAGCAAAGGGACGAACTCGCGGACTATTGTTTTGAGAGATGAATGCGTGTACTGTGCAGACGTGCATACACACACATACATATAGAGTCATACGCACGTAAACGACTCCATTCATCCCGATTCGATCGTCTTATGTAAATGGAGATGTCTGTGACACAGCACTTCGTTGCATGTAATTGCATATTGCATGCATGCGCGACAGCGTGAATGGCTATGCGGGATAAAACTATATTTTGACGTTTTATTATCGTAATGTTATGACGTCGTAATGTTAATGTAATAGTATCGATTATAATAATATTGATTTGGCTGGATTTGGCGCTAACTTAGTTAACAAAATTTTCTTTTACAATTATAAGAGGCATTGATAATTATCATTAAATGGAAAAGCAAATGTGGTAGTACATTTAAATTCCATACTGGTTGAAAGAACCCGTCTATACAAAAAGTTAATAAGTGTTTTTTTTCAAGAGTTTTGAATTTAGCTAAAAAAGCAGGCTTAATATTGCAATTCAGTATTTTGTTTAGAAAAGAGATAGAATTATGTATTTTATTCGGCCATTGTGATATTACTTATCCAAAATCTAGAAATTTCTTTAACCATGTACATACATTTGAATGGCTTCATTTATTCGTCGTACAGTTTATATTATATAATATAAATATTACATCAAATTTTTTAAAAATATTGCGTTTTTAATATGCACTATATATACAGTGTTTTATTTTAATTGTTCTAGGTAAATAACTCGAGGAGTCGTGAAATTAAAAAAATTTCAGACAAATCTTATGTGACTTCCAGGGAGATATAAGATGATATCATAGACTCGATCTTGGGTGACGTTGTCACAGCAAGGTCATTTTGAATTTTTTAAATTGAACCCTTAATTTTTTTATTGCATATCTCGAGAGCTTTTCGAAACATTATAATAAAATATTTTTAAATATTTGAAACTTTTTGAGTTCTAAAGCTTGAAAGTTACAATAGTATTATCTAAGATGTCTGGTGATTATCAGTGAAATATCTCGAAACTTTCGCATTTCCGAAAGAAATGTTTCATACAAAAGTTATAGGGTTTTAAATGATCTATCCACTGGTTTAGTCAATCTGACTTTGGGCGGCGTCGCCAAGGTCAAGTCAAGGTCACATCGATTTTTTTTAATGGTACATCCCATTTTTTATTCCAAAATCTAATAGCTGATGTCAAGACACCAAGTTTTCAAAACACTACAATAAAGTTATTTTTAGTACTTTCCGAGTTATGAGGCTTGAAAGTTACAGCACCATTGGCATTAGCATTACGCAAAGTGTCGTCCGGCTGACGACTAAAACCTCTTGAATATTGTTCAGGATTATGATCTGGATAACATTTATTAAGATCAAATTTATTGGAACCTTTGGAGATTGTTCCTCTTATTTTCATTTTGGCATTAAAAATTCATTTTTATAATTTTTAATTTTAATTTTAATACTTTGAGTAATGCTAATGCCGATGGTATTATAACTTTCAAGCCTCATAAAGTCTCGAAAAGTATTTAAGAAAAAATATTTTATTATAGTGTTTTGAAAAGCTCTTGATGTAAGCTACGAAAATATGTAATGAAAAATGAGGGTATCATTTAAAAAATTCAAAATGACCTTGCTTTGACCTTGATAACATTATCTAAGGCCAAACCTATGGTACCATCTTGTGTTCTCCTCAAAATCACATAACTTTTGTCTGAAACTTTTTTTAATCTCACATCTCCTTCTCGAATTATTCGCTTGGGGCGATTAAAATGAAACAATCCTGTATGTATATGTATATACATACATATAATCAGTGTTGGGTAGTATCTCTATACATATATAAAGATACATTTTGTGTATCTAACCTATATCTGAAGTACATTCAAATTTGATATTTGTATCTATATTTAGATAAAAAAATAGCATCTGAACTGATTTTCAGATGCATTTTTCAGATATATTTTTCAGATGCATTTCCTCAGCATAGTCACAATTTTATTTTATGTGTGATTGTCGATCGATTCCATTCCGCAGAAAAAAAACAGCTTCATTGTTGCAAAATTCTATAACATGATTGGTCCTTCCCTTAGTTCCTCACAGAATCTAAACGCAAATCAGTCATATTAAAGAATTTTACAGTTACACAGTTGCTTTCTCTGCTGAACGTAACCAGTGATCTTAGATTGTGGATTTTCTAACGCATGTATAGTTAAGCTGAAAACACAATGTTTGAAGCATTTTTGGTTTATAAAACTATGATGAATTATATCGTCTTATAATTCTTATCTTAAATCTTCTTCTCTTCTTCTTACGTTAGGCTTCTGGCTTGTGTGTTTCTCTCATATGCTTGCGATGCACACGCTGATTATTTAATTGCCACGAGCACATGGGACATACAATTTTAATGCCGGTTCCGAACGGCGAATTTTTCGAGAGATATTTCTATGGGCAAGGATACTCTCGGGAGATTGCCGGCCTTTTCCGAGGAGACATGAGCGTAAATATTTTGGTTCCTATTAGGATCGAACCCGGAACCTCTGACATGATAGACCAGTACGCTGTCTACCATGCCATGCTCGCGTTCTCTTATCCTAAATTGTTTTACGATAATTGTAAGTTCTTTCAATTATCTAAATGTAACAAAAATGAATGAATAAATGATTTATTTAATAACTAATACTTTTTTTATACATTACCATTATTACAATAAAATTAATTTGAGAGTATCTGAAATGTATCTGAAGATACTTTTACCCAAGCAGAACCACAAGTCAAAATTATGATATCAAAATGATGTTTAAAACTCCAAAATGATCATTAAAAGTCATTTTTCAATCATTTCTGATTCATTTTAATGTCATTTTGACATTATCGTGACTTGTTGTTCTGCTTGAGTAAAATTTGACATCTACATATACCTGTATACATTTTAATATGTGTATGTATATCTGTATTTAGATACATTTTCATACATGTAATTGTATCTATATTTAAATTTTAAAAATATCTTACTCATCATTGTACGTAATGTATATATATATGTATGTACAATATATATATATATATGTATACCTTGTAGTGTTAATGTATTATATTTTATGTTAACAATTTGCTAAATGTTTTTAAACGTTCTTTAAAGTGCGAAGAAGCTGTATGAATTTCATTCCATAACGTGTATTATTGCAATTAATTAAAATACTTAATAAGTCTTTGAACAAGAATCTAATTTTATAATTCTCATATTTATCGAAACGTAAGTATCGTTCTTATAAATATAATACTACAGAATTGCA